ATCATCTCTACTGTTGTATTGCGAGGGTGGTGAGGAGTTGTTCTGGCAATCCAGTGATGTACCTGAAAAAGTTGCTATCCTAGAAAAGTTGGTCTTTGTGTGGCCAGTAAAGGCGTCTGGCATCTGTGTGAGGTTGACCCTGGCTGGTCACCCAGTAATCACCAAGCTATCCTATCACTCTCCTCAACTGGACAGGGGAGAGTAAATGAGACAGAAGTCCTTGCTTGAGATAAGGACAGGGAGATTACTCAGCAGTTATCGTCATGGTCTAAGCAACACTCTTGCCCTGCTTCAGCATGGGTCCCTTCAGGAGCAGACTGCTCCAGCATGGGTCCTCTGCAGGATCAGAAGTCCTGCAGAAAACCTGCTGCAGCGTGGGCACCTCTCTTCACAAGGGCACAGGTTCTGCCTGGAGCCTGCTCCAGTGTGGGCTTCCCATGGGGTCACAGCTTCCTTTAGGTATGCCCCTCCTCCTGTACAGAGTCCTCCATATGGGTTGCAGGTGGATATCTGCTTTGCCATGGACCTCCATGGGCTGCAGGGGACAGCCTGCCACACCGTGGCCTGCACCATGGGCTGCAGGGGAATCTCTGCTCTGGTGCACCTCCTTCCCCCCTTCTGCACTGACCTTGGTGTCTGCAGAGCTGTTTCTCTCACATATTCTCACTTCTGTCTCCTGACTGCTGTTTCACAGCAGTTTTTTCTCCCTTAAATACGTTTTCCCGGTGGTGCTACCAGTGTTGCTGGTGAGCTCAGCCTTGGCCAGCAGTGAGCCCATTTTGGAGCTGACTGGAATTGGCTCTGTCCAGCACTGATGGGGGGTCAGCTTCTGGCATCTTCTCAGAGAAGCCACCGCTGCCGCACTCCTCCTTAACCACCACTACCAAAACTTTGACATGCAAACCCAGTACAGCATCACATCCAAATCAATAAAGGAATAGGTATGTTTTTCTATTCATCTGTAGTATAGATTCATATGGAATGGTTTGCCTTAGAGCATGAGGTAAAAGACACACAAAAATATGTTCTAAGATGGTATCTTATGTTGGACACAGCAGTTTACTAAATACTTTGTATGTCACTCCTCACTTCAGTCACTTCAGTGGTGGTGTTTTGATTTATTTTTTTTGTTTAGTGGGGGCTTTTTTGGTTGGGTTTTTTGTGTTTTTTGTGGTTTTCTTTTTGTTTTGTTTTTTTCTTTTGTAAATGCACAACTTTTCTTCTTCAGTGGAGATTCACTGTGACCTTTTTTCCTCCCATTTGGGAATTGCTTAATGATACTATTGAATGACAGAAGCTACTGTGAAAGAAGTTTAAAAAAGTGTCCACACACAGTAACATAAAGGTGTTAATCTGCTTCCTGCGTACTTTTTTGTAATCCAAAATTTGTTATTTGTGTTTTATTCAAAAAGACTGTATGAGGATTTTTAAAATGCTGCCTTCAGGATGTGGTTAATAATGTTATAAAAGTTCTCATAAAAAGTAAAATACACATTATTCAGGATTTGATTTCATTGGCTTTTAGAAAATTACATACAACTTATCACAGTTGTTTAAAAAAGCAGTGAAATATCTTAGATGTATACCTGTTTAAGTTGTTTATTTAAAATTCCATCTAGTTTCTTGGGCTCAGAATTGCTTGTTTGCCTTGGTATAAACTCACCAAAGGGAGCTTGTAATGGGAAGAAAAATGATTTGTCATTGTTAGTGAAACCTGCTCCAGCATGCTGCCTTTCTTGGGGTGCCCTTCTCAGGAAGGGGACTTAGACTGGTTGTTGGCTGCTATTTTGGGCCAGTTCTGCTTATTTGAATATCTTCACCTTCTGGATGTGAATGTGTCTTGCTGATTACAATGGCTGTGATAGTATACATAGTAAAAGCTAAAACACAAGGATTCCAAATGTGCTGCTACAAAATAGTGAGGAACTTTGCCTATGTGACAGATACTTGCTTTCCTTGTTAAAAAAAGAAATCTGTATAGAATCAGATCCCACGTGACCATTCAGATCAAGTAACTCAGGTGAGCAGTCCTGCTAACATGATGGTATAGTTCTAGATTTGCAATTTTTTTGGTAGAACCATGAATGCGAGAAAGAAAATTGATCCAGAGCTGAGTGAGCAGAGCTGGGATTCTGAGACTCCTCTTCCATGGCAACTGAGCTGGTCTCTATTGGTGGACAAACCGTTCAACACAGAAAAGCTTTATTCAAAAAAGGACTTTTTGAAAAGGAGCTAAAAGATGGAGCTGGGGTGTAAAATATTTGCAGACTGCTTGGGAGTTAGTTAAAGACACCATATTGGAGTCTTACTGTATATGCATGCTGCTTATTTAAATAGACTTTAAAAGGCCTCCCAGATGTTGGCATGGCTAAATAGCAGAGCAAGGTGAAATCTCTGAATTAAAACATCATCCTTCCTGAAGCTGTATTCTGTATTTTCGTCATTTGTCTGAATGATGAAAATACAGAATAATGAAAAAGGTTGTGTAGTTAACCTATAATCATAATGAGGCAGGAAAAAAAAAAAGGGTGTGTGTGTGGAATAATTCCCAGCAGCCATAAAAAACTATTGTTAAGTATTTTTCAAAATCAGCAGAAAAGTTTCTGGGGTATCTGTAGGCTCAGTAGACAACCCAGACGTAAAAGGTGTCTTTGGAGAATATAAGGTTATAGCTGAAAACAGAATTGCTTACACTCACTTTAACAATATGTACAGATGTCTTCATGCCAGAATATTTCTAAAGAAGGAATGTGATAGTTTATGCCTCAAAATGAAACATCAGTGGAAAAACTGTAGTACATCGAGCAAACAATGTACAAGGCAGCAGGATCAAGTGACGTTCATCCAAGTGCTGCAAGAGGAACTCGGGGATGAAGGAGCTAATGGCTGTAGCATGTTACTTGCTGGTTAGAATCATCTTTCTGCTACAGGTAAAGAAAGTAGCTAGTATGATACCAGCTCTTTTAAAATGCAGTGGAGGTATTTGAGGAACTTTACATGAGTGAGCTTTGTGACCACACAACCCAAAATCATAGAAATGATAATGAAGATCAGAATTAATTTCATTGTTCCCTTTGTAAAGGCCTTTACCAAAGGCTTTTGGAGAAGCTAGTCACCTCTGGATAAAATTGAAAGTTTTCTGAGGAACAACTGGTAACGGATGGAAAGAGAAGGCAAAAATGGTTTGTTTTGTTAATAGAAGGTGTAACCAACCGATTGAATTCCACAAGGTTCTGTGTTAACATTGGTGTACAGATAGAAGGAAAAGGGTTTGATACCAAGGTGATAAAGTTTGTAGATGTTGCAGACTTTACTTGCATTAGTATAATGGCTAGGTATTTAACGAAAATTGCAGATGCTCAGGTTTTGGGTTGTGTGGGTTAAAAATTATATATGAAATCCACTGTAGGTGAACGCCAATTAGTCCAAGTGAATGAGAAGTAGGAAAGAGAATTTTTGTAGAAAACAATTGGCTTTGAACTGGTTTGTGCCAGTCATGAGTGGAAGATGATATTATCTGGTATATAAAGATCAGTGCAGTTCTCCGTACCACTGACAACAGCAAATTCAGTGTCAAGTGTTACTAGAAAAGGAATAAAGAATAAAACAGAAACAACATGCCGCTGCTTCTGTAGAAAATCATGGCACATATACATCTTGAGTATTTCTTACAGTGTTGGTATCCTCATTTCAAAGAGGTACAGTAGACTAGAAGAGCTTCAGAGAGAAGCATTGAGAGTGATTTAAAGGCATGAAACAGCTTTCCTGTGGTAGGAAGATTCTTTTTCTGCCTGGGAAAAGGATGACCATGAAAGAACACATCGGAGATCTAGGCAGTCATGAGTGAATAGGGAAGGATTACTTATTACTCTCTTCCAAAGTAAAAAAACTGGAGGAGTAAAGCACTAAGTAGGAGCAAAAAATGCCAGATTGAATCAGGTCAAACAGAAGGAAATACTTACTCATATAATGTATAATGGAGCTGAGGTACTATCTGCTGCAAGATGTTGATTCTCTAAAGTAGGCTTGATTAAAAAAAGTGGGGAGGCAAAAAGAGCTAGCAAAGGCTGTTAAACACAAAAATATTACCCATGGCTCGGGAAGTCCTTGATACAGAGGTTGAATATGCAATAAATAGTTCTGTGTGCCTTGTCTGTACTTTACCCTAGACATCTGTTAGTTGTGATTTTTTTTTTTTCTTTTCTATCAAAACATAAAGTTGCATTCATTATTTCTAAATGCGTTTCTAACTTTGTGAAGAAAAACATAGTAAGAAAAGACATTTAAATTACACAAAATCAAAGCTGCTGCATAGTTTGTCATGTAGAATTTGTGTGAGACAGCTCTTAGTTGCAGTAATTAAGATCTGGAGTGAACAGCGCCTTGTTTTAATGAGTGCTGTCTCCGTGCTCTGGACCTCCTTCACTTAAGAATACCCCCATGCTGTCATATTATATGAAAATCTCCATACTGTTGGATATTGCTGTAGATAAATTTGATGTGATGTGACTGTAGTTTCTACTTTATCGATGCCAATGCTGAAATTTCAGTTAGTGTCAGATGTTGAATTAAAAAAAAGCATATTATGTTGAAATTGTACTTGGGGCAGCTCAGAACAGTTGTTTTTATATGGAAAAATTAAGCGTGTATTTGGGTATTAGACAAATAATAAATTTTAGGACCTTTTCTGTATGTGACGTATAGTTCACATCAGAGAAGGAACTCAAACTTCCAGGTGTCAGCAAAGCAGTTGAAATTCTTGTAAAACTACTTTGCATCGTAATTTTTAATAGCTTTCCAACTTGTTGCATTAGTAATCAAGATGTTGACAGATACCTGTATTTATTTAGGAAAACAAGTTACTTTGTTAAATGATGGTTAAACATTAGCATCAACAAAATAAATACTTGGGGAAAATGCATCTGGTTTACTCCTCTAGTTTGTGTTGATTAATAACTCAGCTTGAAATCTAGACTTATCTTAACTTGTTCTCATTTCAGCTTTGGATAGATCACAATCCAAGAGAGATGGAGGTTTTAAAAATAATTGGAGCTTTGATCATGAAGAAGAAAGTGAAGGAGATGCAGAGAAAGAGTAAGGATGCTTTTATCTAGGCTATTGAAAGTATAAGTGTGTATTTATAAAGAAATAATTTTTGTAACTTATTAATAAATAATCTATAGTATCTTAAAATTTCAGTGATAAAGAAAAATGGTTTCAAAGAAGTGATTATTTTAAATTATTTTAAATATTACTTTAAATTGCATTTTAATGTAAATTTAATTGTCAACATGGGGCTTACAATAGTACATTTCAGAAGTGTTGCAATTGTCTTTGGAGCTACTGTGTGAGTCTAAGGAACACAGGCAAGAAATATGTCAACATATGAAGTAAGGAAATGAAAAAGTAAGGTGTCAGATTCAACTTTTCCTCTAATGGTACTGCTACTCAGTACCTCACAGTTATGGTTAAGGTACTTCAGTACCTGTAGGCCTACACAAGTTAAATTCAGCTTAAAAGACTAGGTATTTCTCTCTTGTGCTTATCTCACTGGGTAGAATTAAGGCTGGTTTTGTTCCCTGGTCATTTTTTTCTTTACTGAATATGTTTGGATTTTGACTAAAACTTAAACCCTATCATGTGTAGTTTGAATACATACTTTGTCCTTGTGATATTTTATTATTACTAATGTATTTATTTCGAACAAGACTAATGACCAGTTAGAAGAACAAGTTTCATGCATGAAGAATGTGTGTTGCATTTATTTGTTGTTTTTACATATTTGGATGATAGGACCTGAAAGTTTAGAAAGGATGCTGTGGTTTTCTAGTAAGGAGAAATGGAATCCTGTGTAAAGAATCAAAATAATTACATGAATTTGCATCTTGTAATTTTCTGCCAAATACTGTGCGTTGGAAGGGAGATGGGAAAGTAGACATATAACCACTTAGGCTGCAGCAGCAGGCTATGCTTTAATCTTATTAAAACATTAGGAAATGTGATATTTTAGTCATTAAAAAATGAGTTCAGGAGTTCACTGAAGTGTGAGGTAAGCATTAAGAACTTCTGTCAAAACAGAACTGTATCAGAAGTTAAAGCACTTTTTAAAAGGTTCTCTAAGGGCATTTTAGTTTTATAAAATTAAACTTTATTTTTAGAAATTTTATATCCATTTTTGGTGCACAGTAATATGTTTTAAGTGTGGTGGCAGTACATACAACACAACATTTGCATTTTACTTAAGAAATAAAAGTAACTCACATTTGTGAGCATAGCAGCTTTTCTCTGCTAGTAATTTACTGCTGTTTTCCATCTCCAGCTGATGTTGACTTAAGATCACAGAATGATATATATGTAGTGTAGTGTTGTTACAAAAAAAAAAAAAAGTTTGAAAAACTGATTATGGAATGTATTTCTGGGTGATTTTTCATTCTTTTCAAATATTCTGTACAATAAACATTTTTCCTATAGTAAGTATTGAAATTTTGTTGCCTCCTCACATCATGAATTTGGTTTTATACCTGTGAATTATGCAGAATTTTGTCTGGAAATATAGATAAGAGTAATTTAAAATGGATTTAAACTGGAAAACCTGCCTCGTTTGCTACCATTTAAGGCAACTTCTCACTCCCTTCAAACATCTATATATGTTTTAAGCTACCCATGTATTTATATCTACCCATGTATTTATATACACCTTTTCCTATTTTTTTTTTCTTTTTTCTCTTAATGGCTTTGTAAGCTTAGAGTAAAATTGTCCTTTTCTTTCTAAATTCCCTTTATCCTTAGCAGAATGTTTCAAAGATAAGCAGCTTTACTTCATAGAATTGTTCCAGCATAAAGTTTTGCATCCCCACAGTATTTTGAGTATCCTATAATGATATATTCTGGCAATTTTTAAAAAACTGTCATTCCCTATGGAGTGCTGCAGTGCTTGTAACTGACTGCATTTCTGTGTGGAGGATGCTGTAAATCTGAAGCAAGTATCTGGGTGCACCTAGTTGTTGTTGAGGCACTAGCATTTTAGTGTCCGACCTTATCACTGCATTTTGCCCTCTTAATGGCAGACACACAGTAAGTTTGTTTTGAGCTGGTCCAAGAATAACATTAATGTTCCAGCACTTAAAAGAGTTAGCTGTATTCATGTGTTACTCCATGAGCCCTTTGATAATATTGTTGGTCAATACTGGATGTCTGCTTGGATTATCTTTCCTAAGTGAGATGAACACAAAATATGTGGCCAATAACCTTCTGCCAAAGCAATTTTCAGAATAGGTAACTTATTTGGGGAATCAGGTGAGCTGTGTTGTAATGGTAAGGTTTCCAGTAATGAACATAAAAAGAGTAAAGAACATTTGTAAACTGGAGATGATTGGAAAAATTAAGGATCACCCAACACAATATATGCATTTTAAAATGCTGCTATAGTTGATACTTGACATGGTTAGAGTTACGGACATTTAAAATGGTAATGGACTAGTATCTTATCCTAAAGTAAATACCTGCAGATAATCTTTAGTCCACTTGAAAAAGTAACATTTTTGATGATTTACAAAATTTGATCTATTTAGGAGTGCAGTCAACATGATAGCAAGTGTCTTAAGACTTTTCTTGCTTTGTACTTGGAGATCCCACGGGAGAGGAGCTTTTATGTAGAGCAATAGTGAAAAACCCAGTTGGTCAATGGAACACACTGAAACTTTTATAAACCATCACAGAATAAATGATGGAGATGAAGTTTATCTTATGTAGTAGAAGACATGAAAGGATGACAGATTTATGCAAACATGGCCAAAATAATATAAGAATTTATATTTCCTTCATTTTTAAGATCTGGGTAAATGTCTCTGAAATACACTTCTATGTGTCACACAGTGGTTTTGTAAACTGATGGGCCCAGTGTGCTGGTTGTTGTACTGTTTTTTTTAGGAATCCAGGCTTAGGCCTTCCCCTGAGATTTGTTCACTAATAGCTTTATCAGGAAGTGAGTACAAATAAATGGGTAGTAAATAAATATTTGTACTGTGATGTTCTTTCTTAACAAGATTTTTCCTTCAAAAGGTTTGTTTGGTTTTTGGTGGGGGTTTTTTTTGGATTTTTTTTTTAATTACCTTTTAATTAGGGGATAATGTGCTGTTTTCCTTGTATTCCTGACTGTAAAAACTGTGATTTTTCTTTATTTTTTTAATTTCTGTATATCTTTTTTTTCCAGTAATTTCTTCCTTTTTATTCCTTTTTTTAAAAATCCTATATTTCTATAGATGTTTTTTGCTTCTTTATGGACCTGTTAGAAAAGCACTGCAGCTTTTAAATTGATAAAACCTTTTTGTTCAAATCCTGAGTTCTTGATTTTTAGCAGTTTCAGTTAAGGTTATTTGTAACAGCATGGCATTGTACATGACTTGAATAATACCACTACTTCTCTTGTGTCTCTGATACCAGCACTACTTTTAAAGGGCTGCCTACCACCATGTAATTTAAAGTCAAGAGTGTACACAGTGCACTTAGAGGAGAAATATGTTAGCCTCTTGTTTTTATGTGTAAGAGTTTTCAGAAAAATTCTAATTATGTTTGAAATGTGAGTGAATCGGTTGTTTGAAATATGGTTGGAGCTCAATGGAGTGTAACTTCAGTGATCGAGAGAGGTTTAAAATCTGGGTTGCCTGTAGATAGTAGTAAACCCATGGTCTATTAAATTGAAGCGTCTGGCTATTGCACAGTTTTTAATTTTTAAAACATTAAATAAATGGTAAGTGATTAGAGATACTAATCAGGATTATTATTTTTTTTTTCTTTTTCCTTTTTCAATGCCTAAATTTGAATGCACAGTTAAAAACTCTCCTTTGGAAAGAACTCTGTTTGCCTAATTTTTTTTATCTCTTTTTTTTTTTTTTCTTTTAATTTTAGTAAAGGCTTTAACTTTTCATTTGTTACAAAATTTTAATTAAAGTGTTTGAAAGTTAGAAATTGTCATTCTAATGTGAAAATCTCTCTACCTGGCTCCCTGGTTGAGAGTGACAAAGTATGGAGGCATGGAGTTCTCCCAGCAAGGTCATTGAGATTTCATTTCTGTAGTGTTAACATGTTATTGTCTGGTTATGTGGGAGTGTGGGATAGTGGTTTTTTTCCCCTGTCTGTGTAAATTGCATCTTTTAAGCAGGCAACTGTAGGCATGTGATACATGAGCAAATAGACATTACTCAGTTGCTGTGTATTCAGCTCTCTAAAAAAACAGGCTTTCTGGTACTGGTACTTATACTTTGCATTCCTTAAAATGAAAAATACTGGTTCTTTAAAAACATCCAATTCCCAAATATTTTTCTGGTCATGTCATCTTAATTGTATCATAAGTGTTACTCTGGTTGAGTTTGATTAAAGGATTTTTTTTAGTGTTATGTTCATTTGCAGTTTGTTACTTTCTCTTTTCTCTCACCCATTCAAACACCCTTTTTTAAAATGGCTGCAATATTGTGGCATCTGGAAGCCCTAAAAGTATAGCCACTGTACAAGGGCATTTTGAAAATCATCATGATTTTTATACAAGCTGGAGCTGAAGAAGGAAAACATATCTAGAGATTAAATGGTCTGGCTAGGTCAACACAGTAAGTAAATGCCAGAGCTGCAGGTGCAGTAAGATTGCTGTTCAGGTCTGTGCTGCAGGGTTTTGTTTATTTCTGTACGATGTGGAAAATTTCTGAAATTGTTAAAACTCAGTGTCTTCAGATGAAGGGTTAAGAAAAATCAGTGAGCCTCCCTGGAAAAGATAATCTATCCTGAAAGAGAGGTTGAAAAATTAAGAGTATTTTAAAATTTTAATATCCATGTATATAGTTTGTATAGAAGTACAACTATTTTGTCTTTTTGGCACTTTATATTGGAAATTAGTGATGATCCACTACATGTTTGTTTTACCATCACATATCTCTGTAAATGCAAAGAAAATACGACAGTGCCACTGGCTACCTCTTGACATTTACATCATTCTTCCAGTATCAAGGCTGACTGTGCACACAATCTTATCTCCTGAATTTTCAGGGTCTGCAGTTCTTACCCTATGAGCCACGAACATTTGTTTTTTCCTTTTTTTTTGTTTTTATTTTTTCTTTCTTTTTTTTTTTTTTTATTTTTTATGTAGGGATATTTGTATTGCATCAGGTGGAGGAATTATTGTTGTGTTAAGGGAAATCTTGTGCCTGGAAGATGTTTTTAGGAAATTGGGGTGGGTGTGTGTCATGAATGGTTACTTAATATATTAAGACGTAAAATCACTATGTGTATTGCAATCAACTTGTTGCATGTGTAGCTAAGAAACATTTCCACCATCACCTCAATGTTTTTTTCTCTTGTGTAGCTGTTCCCTTGGAAATCCTGGCATAACTGCTTGTATAACTAGTTTCTGTCTAAATGACCTGAATTAAAGCCCCCAAACCTATGCAATTACAAGTTGGCCAAAAGTTGTATTATTTTGTTGCAGCCAAGAGAGGACTAACCTTATCAGGACTGATGAGAAGGGATTATCTGCAGGTTGCTTCTGGGAGCAAGAATGCATTAGCCTAATGTAGCTGCTGTCATTATAAAATGTATTCTTAGGGTTTTAATTTAGATACTGGAGATTATTTGGGGATAATGGCCCATTACTGAAAAGAGTATGTTTTCACAGTTATCATGGGGTGGGTTTCTTTTTTTTTGTAGCTTCCTCCCCATTATAATAGTTGAAGATTATAGACACAGAAGTACTAAAGATACACATTTTAATGAGCAGTTGAGCCAAACTGAATACGCTATTTTTAGGAAGACATATTTTTGCAGTAATTGCTATGGGATAAAATTTAGTTATACATAAGTTCTTCTCCTAAAACACTATGAAATTTGCAGTTTTAAACCACATGTTTGATATGCGCACTTGATATGCACAAACTTAGACTGTATTGTATAGTTTAATTTAGTATGTGACTCAGTTTATACATGGGGTTGTATAGAATCTTTCATGATGTCAATGACATTGCCATAACAATATTGAAGATTCAACAGTATTCTCTATTTTGAAATAATAACATCCTTTCAGTTTTGCTTTTTGTGAAATAATTTGATGTACACTTAAGGTAAAGTCTGCATCATATTCTGGGTCACTGTGTTGCCTGCTTATATGTTCCTGGTGTTACAGGCATATATATATATGATGTGTATGTGATGCATTTAAATTTAAAGAGGGAAGGAAAAAAATAAAGCCCTTTGTGTTCAAATATGTTGCTGGTGCTCCGTTGCATTACAAAGTATTTACTTTTCTCTCCCACTCCTGTGTAGCGAGGCAAATCTGCTCAGCATAGATGACAGTGATGGACCTTTCAGTGCCAGTGACGAAAGAAAGGCAAGTACTTTGTTCATCTTCTGGTAAAAATGTATCTTTAAAGCTTTCTAGGTTATTAAACAATGTTGCATAGTCATCTGTGCGGTATTGCAAAATGAAAGTTTCTGAGTTGATTTAGCAACATATGCCCAGGCTGTCTGTCTGCCTACCCATAATGCTTTCGTTCCTCTTACTCCTATAAATCTTGTGTTTGAATAGTATTCTGAAAATATGAGTGTGAATAAGTAGTTATAAGTTTAGACACTTATCATAAAGGGATTATATGTTTTAATCACAAATTTTAATCATTGCATCCCATGAGTGCTTACTGTGGGATTCCTAATTTTATATGTATATATACATGTATGTGTGTATCTATATAAAAGGAGAAAATACATAGGCAAAACTCATGTGCTTTTTTGTGTTTTATTTTAATGTATGCTGAAATAGCTTACAACTGTAAGGTGCTTCATAATACTTTGAAAATAGTCATATTTTGTTAAGTAAGGAATCCTAGTGAGTAAGGGTGTAGACAGGATATATTTTACATTAAATTTGGTACAAAAGCAGTCTGAAAATGAAGCCAAAGTAATATGTAAATATTTTGTAAGTAATCTTTTCCTTTTACACAAGTATTTTAATACGCATGAATTCTTTTGTTACAGTCACTTCGTTGTCGGCCTGGAGCTGTCGGCACCAGTGGTGATTCCTTAAAAACGTATGCAAGGCGAGGCAAAGCTGGAGGCTTGAGACTTCTTAAAGGGAACTCAATCGGCCTCAACATGATGGGAAATAATAAGAAACTGAGGTACTGCTTTTAGTTTTATGTTTGCTTATTTATTTGATCATTGATACAAATCAATGCTAAATGAACAGAACTTGTAGTATATTTACATTATGTGCTGTGCATTTTAATAAGCTATGCTGTTCTGTGCTTCTGAGCAGAGATAGAAAACTAGATTGTTAAGGTTTTTGCTCTTCCAAACTGTTAAATAACACATTACTAAAATAGCAGAAGATTATTAAAATAGAGTTAGAGCAGTCACTGGCATACTTGTCAATGCCTTACCAGTGTTGTCTGCATGTGCTGTATACAGTGCTAACAGGTAGAAAAATATTTCTAATATCCCCATCAAGAATTTCTTCTTTCCATGACTGTGAATTGCTAAGATTAACTCGGTGTGCATTTCCTTACTGCAAGATACCCTTTGATTTAGGAGTCATGGAGTGTTCCTTTAAAGGATTCAGAAATACATGTACTCCTACAAAATAGCTTGAGATTGCCGCTTGCCTTTAAAGCTGACAGGAACAGTGTTTAAGCATTCAGTGCTGTACGTGCTTGTTACTACTGTTCCTAGCTTGTAACAGACTAATCTCTTTACTTATTATGTAATAAAAAGTGGTACATTTGTGTAACTTCCTCTGGGAGTGTTTCATATTGCTAAAATGCACTCAGTTTGATTACCTTTGCTGGAAGGAAAAGTTTGTACGACAGATGTAGTTGGGCCTGTTATAGGTTAATGGGACCGTCTTAGCACTAAATCACTTGAGAAAATAAATCCTTAAAGTACTGTGTGATGTGTCCTCTCTCCTGCTATTCTCATCTTTGATCTGGGGGTACAGGGAACAAATTCAGAATTTCCTATCTGGACTGGTGGTCCATCAGTTACTAGATGAAGTACAAGATGATCGGATACTTGAGATTCGTGAGCTGTTCATGGTGATTTTTATCATGAAGTTGAAGTCTCTTTCTACTTTGTCTGTGGCATAGGGGTTAAAAACTCTTCAGATCAGTGGGGCTTGACTCGAATTATTATTACTGTATGTCCTGGGTTCAGCAGTAGCTGTCATTTTTCTCAGTCTTAGTAGCTGGTGCAGTGCTGTGTTTTTGACTTTCAGCCTGGGAACAAAGCTGGTAACACCTATGTTTTTAGTTGTTGCTACTGTACTGCTACTGTACTGTGGTACAGTATTCCCTGAAATTCAAGAAATGAGTGATAGGAAGAAGCGATATGCAAGGACAGTGAGAAGAAATTTTCCCTGTACGTATACACTTGAATGTAAAAAAATTTAAACCAGGCCAAAAATTGTCATCCCTTATCTGGTTAAGCAAATCCAGTATGAAACTAACTTAACTGTAATAGTTTTGTTGTTGGGTTTTGTTTTAATCAGTTGTTCTTTAAATTGCTTTTTTCTTTCTGGTTTTCAATAACTTGTATCAAAATTTCTCACATTATTAACTCCCTTATAGATTTTTTGTTTTGTAATATTTTGTGAAAAAAATTACGTAAGGAATGGCAGAATTAATGTAGTCTGTAGTTGTGTTTTATGTTCCTGAAAATACCAGCGTAAGGTTACTCTATGCTTTGCCTTTTGAATCTGGTGTTAGGAAGTTCCTAGGATCAGCTGATAGAATGTGATGGTGTAACCTTTTTATCCTTGGAGCCTAGACTTTAAATGATGCTGTGGTTTCTGAGGTCATGTCAAGGAGAGAGGTATATTGTTAATATATTGTGAGGTCTTTGAGACTTCTCAAACACTTGTTCTTTCAAGGAATTTTCTGACCATTATATCACCCTGGTTTTGGTGTTTTATGTCAATTTTCTTGAAACTGTGCTGAAACTTGCAAACCCAGATTTCAGTTTGGATGTGCCCATTTTGCAACTTTCTAGGACTTGATTCAATTTTCTGTTGGTTCTGTCTGTACTGGGTATGTTGTATTCAAAGAACAGGATTATAGAGCAGATTGTATTTTACGGTTGTCCTACTTGGAAGTGTATCTGACGCCATGTGAACCATTTAATTGTGCCATCTAGAACGGTCAGCTTTGACTCAAATGTGGTCACCCACCAGGCTACGATATTCTATTCCAGTACCTACTGGAATTTCTAACTACTTGAGCATGAGGCAGAAAGCAGAGCACTGTCTAACATTTTTTTGTGTTCAGGGGCACAAGACTTAGAGTTTCCCAATCATGGTAACTTGACAAAGCTCAGATTCAACACGTAAAATGATAAAACGTGAGATAGGTGTGTTTATAGACTTAGTTGCTTATTTAAACTCAAGTCTTCAGCAGTTGAGAAGGCATTCCTGCACTCTGCTTGTGTTTTCTTTTCTAAGAAAAAGTCTCTTTCAAAGACATTAAATTGGAAGCCAGAGAGGATACCCTGAAGTATTTAGGACAAATAGCTGTCAGCTTTTTATTTCTCAGGTGACAGCACTAAACAGAAAGTTGACTGCAGATAGTCTAGATGATGACTGACCAGCTGCAGTTGCATAGTCTTGACTTAGAAGTAGTGTAGGATGAGTGTGTTTACTTTCAAGAGGTTGGTGTGAGAACTGGATGCTATTGGTTTAGTTTTGAGGAAATCAAACTGTTAGAACATATATGATGTTTCTAAACTTTGTATTCTAGGATAGAGTTTTACCATTTGGTTGGTTTTGATAATCTTGTTCTATTATGTTCATGGTTAAGCTATGTCAGATCATAACAGTCATCTTATGACCAGTCAGAAATACTCTGAAAGCTCTAATATTGACTTATGATACTCAATATAAGGCTTCCAAAAGGGTTTGTAGTGCTAAAGTCAAAAAGAAAAAAAATTAACTGGCAGGCTAGCAGTTTGCTCACTTTTATCTTTTGGGGGAATGTAAAGGAAGGATTAAGAATTGGTTGACATCTTTCGGGAGAATTTTGGTACTTCTTTTTTTTCATTGTTCATGACAGAATAAAAGCAAAACTTCTGTGGAATAATATTTCTGAAAAATACTATTAAGAATGCTTTTTCACATAATTTTATTTAGTGCAACTATAATTTCCAAGCAATTTTACAAGCAAAATTTAAACACTGTATTTCCATAATTTGAAACATTGTCAAGATGCTCTCCGTAAAAAGTTGCCTGCTTTCTGAACATTTCAAATGTGGTATTGTATGTCTGGTCACAGAAGTGTGGGGGATCATTTTTAGGGTCTAATAATCTTCCAAGGAGTACCGTATTATTGGTCTACCATATCTTTATATCAGGTTTTATTAGAGAGGATAATGGTAAGTAATCTTCTCTCCAGAATTACTTGTTTTACATAGTAATGAGATTAAAGTGTCAAAAGGCAAGAAATGAAGAAACCAAAGAAATTATAAAAAAGACTGGTGAATATGCTATCTCTCTGCATAGTCCTCCTCAGATATTTGAGGACCCAAGAATCCGTAACTTTTTTTTTTCTTTTTGAGATGTGTTTCCGTTATGAGCCATCTTACAATCATAAATTTGCTGTGGTTTCTCTCCAGTTTGAGTAGCTAGAAGAGGGAAATTCCAGAATGTGCAATCTCTTCACCTATGCCCTTTGTCGTATTAATGAAGTTAATACCATGTCTTAATAAAATGAAATTTGGAAGTATAAATTGTAATTTAATTACCCATAAAGTATGAATAAAATTACATATAAGATACAATATATATTTTACATAATATATAAAATATGCATTATATATCATTTTATTAATCCTATATAAGTAATAATTTAAAAAGGCAGTGTCTTTTTGAAGTGACAGGAGGAAAAGGAGAACTGGTTCACAGTGTATTAGATGGTGATAAAATTAAAAAAAATCTTTATCTTTTCTTTGGGGGGGGATCATAATTGAATTGTGTATATTCTTATTTGTCTATTTTAGCCTAGGATTGAATGCTTTTATGCCTATCAAAAGACCATAACAAGTTGAATTACTGATTCAGAAATACTTTGTTGATATTTGGGTTTGTATGGCTGCTGTTATAAAAGTAAAACACCAAAACTTTTAGTTAAGACCATGTACAAATGCATCAGATTTCTTTTGTCTTTTTCTTAAACCATTTTTCTGTATGTTTGCAGTGAAAATGCTCAGAACGTGTCTTGTCCTGTAACTGTGGTACATGGTAGACGTTTTCACCATGCACATGCACAGACAGCGGTAGTAAAAACAGCAGCCCAAAGGTAAGGCTAAGTACATTTGTTTCTCCAGATATTCCTAGTGTCAGAAATCTTTTTTGGTTTTGCGTGTAATAGTTTTCCTTATGCTATAAAGTGTTTTAAGGAAACATGAGTAGTTACAGGATGTGTTCTTGATCACAAACTTTGATCTTAATTACTGAAGTTTCATAAGACCGTTTAGGATCTACTGTTATTTAATCTCAGAATTTACTTATTTTAAGGCACACTGTGGCACATATTCAGTAGGAGAGCACCTGCTAATATAAATATGTTTAGAAAATACTTTAAAGTGGACAGATGTAGTAGGCAGTAGAAATTCACATAACTGACAATATGATCTTCAAATACTAATTCACAGCAACTCCAGTTTGTATAAGATCCATCTAAAGATTAAGTTATAGATCTGTTGATCATATGCAGTCTGTAAATACAGCATGAAACATATAAACTGGAACTTCTAACAGAAGCAGGGTTTTTCATTTATATAAATAGTTGTTAGAATGACTGACTGGGGAATCTTACTCAGCTATGCTGAGTTAATTGATTTGAAAACTTAAAACTACATCAGATTTCTATAAAGTGCAGGGGTTTATATTTTTTTACAGGCTTTTCACGCTCATTGTGAGTCAAAAATACATGAGCGTTAGCTTTAAGGAATTTTCTTTCAGATTTTGTCCATTCAGAGCTCTCTATGAATTTCATGGATTTCTACCAGGCCACGAGTGCTTCATTGTGTCAGCATTTTGTAGCCTCCTTCTGCCCTCTTTTTTCCTCTCTGCTTTTTTAGTGTAGACTTTTGAGGTGGGATCATATGTAGGCATTATCCTCTTTTTCGTCCCACTTCCCTCACTTTGATTTGCTATCTTCTGAAAAACAAAGCCCATATACTAATTTGGATGAAGTGATTCAAGTATGTATTAGGGTAGTCAGGCATTGAAGAAACAGACTAAAAAATGAATGTTGCAGTCCTATCCCTGAGAACCTACACTGTTGTTGCATCCTTCTATTTCAAACTGGACTGTCATCTGTAAACAGAAAAATAGCATGTACATTTTCTTTCCCTTAGTAATAGCAGATGCAGTAGTAGGGATCTCCCTGTTCTTTGCATTTCTTCCCATCGCTGCAAGGCAGGGATGACTAAGGAGGCTTCGCAGAGCTTTTCCCACAAATTAAACTGAAAGAAGAGGTTTACCTTGCCAGTGTAGTTTGGACTGAACCAGATGTGCTCTTTTCTTCTTACGTACAGTCTTTTTCAGAATATTTTTTTTTCAGTGTTGATTGAGAAAAGCATGGGGCATCTGCAAGCATTCATACTCTTTCATTTTCTTTTTTTAACATATTTTTTTAATTTGGTAATTGTAAGGGATAAAATCTTGATCTGTAGTGCTAACTAAAATGGTTTGAAGTGAGCAAAATAAAGCAAGACTGCTCTTTACTGCATCTCTGAATGTTGACCCTAATAATGTTAGTGCATTTGATTAAGTTTTGTTGTGAGATGGTTCTTTGAAACAGCTGGTCAACATGGATTCATCTTGTGTAGTTAAGTGCTGTAGGCTTCTTCAGCGTGCAAAAGAGTCTGCTCTGGAGAGTCTTAATTTTGAGGGTATGCTAGACTTGCCTGTTTGCCTGTCTCACCCATGGGACTTGCTTCTTTGTAAGCCTACAATGTAATGTGCAAACAAAACCCAGAAGCAGCAACTCCATGTGACAGGCAGAAGAAGCACTAATGCATAATACAGGTAAGCTGAATACTGCTTGAAATAATTGGATATTAGTCATCCTGAATATTTCTAAATATGTTTTCTTTTAGGGTTGTTATTGTAGTTCATTTACATTAACAACAGGCAATTAACTAAGAATATTTATGGAGTTTCAAAGGCAGGAAATAGTCATAACAATTCCAAGCAATGCTTTGCTACTGGAGGATGTCAGAACCAGCATGATCTAATTGACTGAGGGTGAGCTTTACAGCGGAACTGTGCAAAGGATATTTAATTCCAGTATCTTTTGCCAGTTGACTCAATTGACTACTTTTTAAAGGCTTCTAAATCTGTTTCTGAGGTAGAGGTTTGAAAATTAACAGAATAGGTCTCCTGTAATACTGTTGGGTTTGTTTTTTTTTAATTAAAAAAAAAAGAAGGGGGAATCTCAGGGCTACTTGGTATGGAAAATACAGATTTATTAATGAGAAGACAATAGTTGTTAGGAAAAAATAAGTAAAATAGGACTAATGAAAACTGTTCATAACACAAAATTCCAGTGTATATGAAGTGGGTATGTATTTTTCTGGTTGTAGTTATGCGTGATTTTTTCTCTGTTTGCTAATTTTTACTGACATTCATAGAATCATAGAATCGTTAGGGTTGGAAAGGACCTTAAGATCCTTCACCTTACACTAAATCATATCACCCAAGGCCTCGTCCAACCTGGCCTTGAACACTGCCAGGGATGGAGCATTCACAGCCTCCCTGGGCAGCCCACTCCAGTGCCTCACCACCCTCACAGGAAAGAATTCCTTCTTATATCCAGCCTAAACTTCCCCTGTTTAAGTTTTAACCCGTTACCCCTTGTTCTGTTGCTACAGTCTCTAATGAAGAGTCCCTCTCCAGCATCCCTATAGGCCCCCTTCAGATACTGGAAGGCTGCTATGAGGTCTCCACGCAGCCTTCTCTTCTCCAGGCTGAACAGCCCCAACTTCCTCAGCCTGTCTTCATACGGGAGGTGCTCTAGTCCCCTGATCATCCTTGTGGCCCTTCTCTGGACTTGTTCCAACAGTTCCGTGTCCTTTTTATGTTGAGGACACCAGAACTGCACACAGTACTTCAAGTGAGTTCTCACGAGAGCAGAGCAGAGGGGCAGGATCACCTCCTTCGACCTGCTGGTCATGCTCCTTTTGATGCAGCCCAGGATACGATTGGCTTATTATGCAGCAGTGGGTTTAAAAGTAAATTCTGGTTATGTCTTCTCAGAAAGGACTATATGCAGGAAATGTGGGATGCAGACCATGAGTAAAATTTTAGGTATATATCAAGATAAGTAAGATTAGACAATTAGACACAAGACAAAGTAAAGCTGGTAGCATGGAAAATGAGTTCTAAGGTGTTGAGGTTTTTTTTCTATATGAATTTACAAGCAGCAGGAAGATGTGTTATTTTACATTGATTGCATTTATAAAATTGTTTTAAGGTATGGTGATCAGGAACAACATGGGGAAAATAGTTTTAACTAACCTAATATATTGTTCCTAAATCTGTAGTGGATTATTGAATGGGTAACTGAAAATAAAACCATGATTAAATTAGCTCTGAGCAGATTGACTCTCTGGCGCTGCCATTACAGATTCTGTTATTTATACTGGGCTCTTTGTGTGGGGATGGTGTCACGCAGGGCAGACTAATTATGAAACTCAGTCATAATCTCTATCAAGTTGAATTTGGAGCTTGTGATGTGTCCTGTATTTCTCAGCTCTTCAACCTTTTGCACATGCATGTTAATTATTAAATTTTGTCTGAGTATCTGTTGTACTCATATGTAAAATATAAGCTTCCGGTAAACAAAATCTGGCATTTCAAAATGACATTTTGATAAATATTATTCATGGTTTTCTGATGCAATCTGGGGGTGACGTTAAAATTTGTTCACTTCTGATAAAATGGATTTTCAGTTATGGCTTAGCCTAGTATTGTAGTTGGTTCAGACTATTTTGCTTCATTTAATGCATGCATAGTTTTTTCTTATGTTGATTTACTGTTCTCTAAGACTTGGCACTGGAACGGCATGTATGTACATGGTTAAGACACCTTATACATGAGCCACATGAAGCAATTTGTAGGGACACTGCTTGTTATAATTCCTGGGTCTGTCCAGGATTCTAATTTCTTAACGTTTCTGAGATGTAAGAATCTTTTAAAATGCATTATATTAATGTGGGATTTTAAAACAAGCAAGTGAGGCGTCTAATGTAGCGAAAATGTATGGTATCGGGCATTCTGGAATTTTTTCCTGCTGTTAGTTTTCTTAACATTAAAATTTACAGTTCTTAACAGTGTGACTCTTTACAGCACCTGTAAACAGTTAATCCAAGTTACATATTAACTCTGCCAAGGATACAAAGATACTGGATCTGGCTCCATCTGGACATGGTTTGGATCAGAGTGGATTTATAAACTCAGATGTGACCTGCAAAAAAACACTGGTTTTTGTTTGTAAAGGCTAGCTCCAGTTGGAAGCAATTTTTTGCTATTTTCATGCAGCATTAGCTGATCACCCTCATCTCCATCGAAGTTGCAGTGGTCACATTCAGTTTTGAATTCCTTTTACTTTCTTCCCAGAGCACTATGGAGATTAAATATGTTTTTATACTGCAGTCTGTAGGACTATCAGGATTACCTTCTTATGTGGTCTACTTTCAGTATTGTTCCTTTGGGTAACAAAGGGTTTGCCCTATTCTTGTGAGTGTTCTGTTTGTGAAAAGGAAAGGAGAATGAATTTATATTACCCTGTAATATCATTACGCTGTTTAATTTGACTGCAGTAAAACAGGAAACAGTTTGAATTTGTTCTTTTTTAGGATACTGTTAGTGTAATGCATATAAGACAGAAGTTTTTTAGGTTTTTGATATTTGGGAGGACCAGCCACATACATTAAAAGCTCACAGCATTCTGTATTGCGATTTTCGAAAAGGCAGGAGAGATAACGACGGTGTTCTCAAGTTGCCTTTGTGCTGTGCTTAGTTAGATCTATTTTTATCTCAGGCTGGGTATACAAAGGACCTGAGTTATGAGTATCAGCTCTGTGCACTGATGTTAATGGGGACGCTTCTGAAACTAGTAGCCCTAATTCTTTAATATATTTGGAGGCTCTTCTTAGCCAAAGCCTCTGCAGGAGGCCGGTTGCTTCTGTTATCCTTCTCTGTCTAGTAGCTGATTGCATGTGGTCTCCTAACTGTTTTAAGTAGTGCTTTCTGTTTGTTTTTTTTTTCTCTTACTTGAAACACTTAAATATTTTTATCATGTCTTGCATGGTGATCAGGGGTTGAAATTGAGGCTTGATCTTAATTCAAGTATTAGGATTCTGTCATGTCAGGTTCTGCATTGCAGTAAATTATGTGAGATTGCCAGATTGAATTTGAAATTAATCAAATTTTACATGTTGAAAAATAGGCAAGACAGTGTAGTATTTGGACCATTGCTGTCTGTGAAGTAACATTTGGTTTTGTGTTTGTAACTACTGTTACAAAAATGCTATGAAAAATAGTAATGCTTATTTGAAAACAAGTGAGCGCAAGAGACAGTGAAAGTTATAGTTTATATTGAATAACTTTTGAATTTAGTGATGTGCAATATGTGGGGCTTTGCATCTTATGTTTTTTTTTCTTTTTTCATATTTTAAGCAATCTGGATCGAAAGGAAAGGTAAGCTTACTGTTGATGAAATGAGCATGGCAATGAGCATTAAGAAAATTAACTGATGAGTGATTTATAATTCTAATTAAAGAATATTCAATCCAGTCAGTCATATCTGCTCATGTGTGATAGGGGTTGGTTGTTTTTGTTCTGTTTTTGTGATTTGCTTACTCCCTTTTACCAAACAAGGATCTTTACATGCATCTCTAAATGGTATGTTAACATGAACTTTGGGTACATTTCCGCTGGTAATTTACCTGTTTATTTAACCAGTGTGAAAATAGATAAATTTTAACTTTCTCCACAATTTAAGAATTTGCTAATTCTTTTCATATTCTTTGTGCAATAGAATGGTTCTGAAGCATGTCCCATTAGGGTCCTTAACAGCTTTCAGTCTATCATCTTAGCTTGGTTTGAATAGCATTGAAAGTTTTTATTGGGTTACTGTGTACTTTCTGTTCATGAATTGTATGTGTTAAAGCAGTTAACAGAAAATGTATAGCAAAACCAGGCATACTGGTTTTTCATTGCTCATTTCAGGCTCATTTCTCTCATATTTTGCATCTGTTTTATTGCTGTTAATATTTCATTAGCAATAGGAAATATATTTGGTTTTCTTCCTATGTAATTTAAACTTGCATATTAGTGGAAATGTTGATAGTAATGAATTCATTGAGGTTTTATAAATATTGTGTCTATGTAGGTGGTTTTGATAGTATGTACTAGGTATCATGTTAAATTGTTTAAACAGTGTATATAATGTTTAACCAATAAGGATATAAATAACACAGAAATATCATGTAGATCTGTTCTTTGTGAATTCAAGGTTTTCTAGATTAAGTAGTAAAATTGAGCCTTTCTGTTTTACTGCCTTTTGTTATTTGTTAAAAGAAATCTGATATATTCACCAGTTACCATTGGCTCTCTAAGAAGGGATTTGATCATGTTTTTGCTGTGTGGGCTTTAAGTTTAAGTACTTCTTCCCATTCAAACTTGTGCTGCATTTAAGTTATTAGTTGTCCATTCAGCAGTTTCTGTTTTTAATTTGGAAGCGAATGTCATGAAAGGATAGGGCTGAGTTCCATGCTGATGATCTTTATTTTCCCTTGGGAACACCTGTTGCTTTTTAGTCCAGTACTACTGGATATGTTCTTTTTTTCCCTTCCCTCCTTTTTGTTGCTGTCCTAGTGGGGGAATGTGATTTAGGCAGAAGGTCCTAAATTTAGTTTTAATTGTTGCCATCATGGTAAGTGCAGTTGCAGCTCCTGACTTTCTGGGCCAGATGGGGCTACTTATCTGTGTACTACAACCCCAAATCTCTGTGCTGCTGCTTCTCTCTTTTAGCTTTTGACTGTTGTACTGTGCTTTTCCTACAAGGCATGCTGAAGGAAAAACTCAGCAGCTTGGTGCTTCCTGTCTTACCATGCTTTACTCTGTTTTTGTGTAGTGATGGAGAAACCAGCAGCTTGGCTGTGGTGTTATACTTCCAAATAGTAGTATACAGAGGCAGAGTGAGGGAAAGCTGAATGAGGCAGACTGAGGGAAAGCTGAGTAAGACAGCCTCTCTCAAAGTGATGGAACCAGATTGTGGGTAGTTTTGAAAGCTCTGTTCTAAGACAGCACTGTAGCCTAAATTCCCAGATGCAGTTTTTTCTTCACATTCATTCCTTTCTGGCATAGACAGAAATTATCATCCCTCTGTGTCGTGTTCACAACCCCTCAGCACACACCCCCCACCCCCCCTTTTCTCTTTTTTGTTAGAGAATAACTTTTAAGATGAAAATTTCACTTTGGCTGGAGAGTGTCACAGAGGTCTGTGTACCAGCCCATTGTGAATATAATTAAGGTCCAATTCCATCAGTATAGGAATAAGGCAATAATTTTCAATATGTGCTGAAGATACTAAATCAGTGACACTATTTTGTTTGGGCAAAACATGTTTAATGAAGAATGCCATACCATTTAGCTGTTAAGATTTGTCAAAAGTTCAGGATTCTCCGCAGTCCAGACTGCCTCAGTATTTTTGTCATGTCTGCTGGAGGAAGAGCCTGACCTGTCTTGGTACTGTAATTAATGTTTTGCTGTTTGATGCTTTGCTACTTCTTGAGATTGCTTTTATCAAATACTGGTCCACCTCCCTTGTACTTAAGGTATTAAAAGCAGAACTGCTTATAATGGATGAGATGAGATGCCTAAAATGATTTAATCTCAGAGCACGAAACCTTGTTCTTCAAGCAAAATCTAAATTGCATAAATATTGCTGGGAAACCTAACAGGAAAAAAAAAAAAAAGGTGTATTTTTAATATTTGGTAGGACGATAAGAACAAAGATCAGTATTGTATTTCTTGTGTTTTTTTTCTATTAAACACAGTATGCAGATAGTCTTGCATCTAAATTTGTCTGGCTGTTTGATCCCGCATTTATTTATTTTGAAACAGATTTAACAGCAAGAAGGCATTTGTTTGGAAGTTCTGTATGTTTTTTTTTAATTCTCTGATAAGATTTTTTTTTTCTTTTCCAAATAGTCTTTAAAGATAGGTGTCATGTTTGATTTAAGAAAAAAACAACTAGAGTTTCCATTACATCCCATTTCTGCACTCACAATTAAACCACTCAGTGTACTACGTACTTAGTAAAGTAGAAGGTATTAATGGATCTGCAGCTGTTCAAATGTCAATGAACATTGTGCCGAGAGGGGAGCCTTCATTTTGTCATCTGTAAAAACTTTGTGGTGCTGGGCTCTGCTCTGGGCTCTTTATGGTTTTGTGTGGGTTTTTCAGGATAGGAAACTAGTAGGAGGTGCTTCAGGTTGCTGCCCTTTTGTGGGAGGGCTGTCCCTATCTCCAGGAAAGCATTTTTTCAGATGAAATCTCCATTTAAGTAATCTTAAAAGTTGTCTTTGCTTTTGTTTCTAACTCAGAGCAACTTCAAACTTGACCTTGAATTGCTGACCAAGTTAAACTGTGTTGGAAATCCTCAGTTGACTTGGAGCTGTTTTTTGTAACATAGGTTTGGGTGTTACTGGTTCATTGTGAGCACACAAGTGAAAGCATATTGTGGGAGAAGAAACTCACTTTATGCTAGCACTTGTGTATTCTTGCAAGTGTTTTGCCATTTAGTATCAATAACTCCATATTGATAATACAAAATTCAGACAAGGGTAAATAAGGCTACTGTATTCTGATTTATTGTCAAAAAATTCTTTAGTTATATATGGTAAGCAAATTACCATCTTAAAACAATAAATACATGTTGCGTGTTAAAAATGTAACACAAGCCTGTACGATTTTTAGGAGCAAAATAATAACTTTAAGATGTCCAGAGACCTTCAATTGTCAAACTAATTTTTAAAAGATACTTTAGTATTCTAAATCTCCATACTGATTTCGTTGCTTTCAATTAAATGTCAAGTAGTTGCAATATTTTTTATCATAAATATTGATTAAATGTTTTCTATTTAAAATGTTTTACAGAAAATACTTTTTCAAACAGTGGTTATGTTCAAAACAAGACAATGTTATTAAATACTACTGAGAGATAATTATAACATGTCAGAAAACGGCTCACACATCCTTACTGCAAAGTTTATATATTTTTAAATCTCCTATAATGGTGTTACAGGGTTTTTTCTACCCTTTAGAATGTCATTATCATTGGTTTTGATAGTAATAGCTTCTCACTATGTAGGGCTTAATCTGAGCTCTGCCTTACATTTCCACAAATTCTGCCCTTAAAGTAATCCCTTGTGATTTATTTTTTTTTAAAGAAAATGTTCCAAAGTCATACTTTTTTAACAAATATTCATGTTAAGCCTCTGATTTTGGTTCAGCTATTTGTGTATGCACACGTTACAAAAAAATATCTTTTTTTGGGAGCAGGGTTGTTTCAGAAACACATTTGACACAATCAGTAACAAATAAATTACTTAATCTGTCATCTGTGACATGTTTGTGGGCACTCAGGGTTAAGTACTGTGAGGTCTCTACATTCTGTGTTGCAATCTGACCGCGCTTATTTCTCAGTCTTTCTTTCTGCACGAATTTTCCTTCATGCTGCAGCCTCTCAAGACAGTAAAAATTGTTTGTGTTTAGGTGAAGTATCCCAAAGAGCACTGTAGGTTAATCTTGTTTGAAAGAACAGGGAAAACCCTGAGAAATAGTACCTGTGGATGCAGAAAACTCAAGGAGTTTATAATTTGATATATTGGGAAATGCTGTGCTGAAAGAAATAAAAACTCATGCCTACTGCTGAAGTTTGCTTCAGTCAGAGCCAAATTTTTGTCAGGTGGGTCATCAAAATTTAGCTCTTAGTTTGAGATGTTACTGCCTTCAGCTGTTTGCTTTACCCCCTTGCTGTTGATTAATGTGCTTGTAAATCAGAAGTAGCAGTATGGGATGTGTGTGACCCATTTGCAGCCCATTGTTCTGGCTTAACTTGCCAGTGGAAACAGTTTCTGCTGAAGTTGCTGGCAAGGCCTTCTGTGTTTCAGATGTGTGCCATCTTCTGTTATAACAGAAACCATAATGTTGAGCTGCAGAGCAGGGTAAGAGAGCTAAGAGAGAATTGCCACAAACAGTAGCTGAGATGCAATGAGCTTCAGGAGTCTTAATTTGGTAACAGCCAATTTGACACACTTGTTCGTAAACTTAATTTCAGGAGACTCAAATCTTACTATAATGTTTTATATTGCATTAATTTGCACAAAAAAATGTGGTATGTATATTACCCAAATTATACCAACAAAACTTTTGTCATCCACTAGTTTGTCTATGTTTTTATATTTTCAAAACAAATATACAGAAACTATCCCTTCTCCCATGTTCTTTTACATTTTTGGCCACAACAGTTTTTGACATCAGGTCTCTTTCCTCTGTTTTGCATCTTCTCTTCCTGTTTTTTTTTTTAATTGTGGAACTTGTGGAATCCACTTTAATATTAAAATAATAGTTGTTTCTATTTTTGTATTTTAAAAGTATCTATCTTGTGCTTAATGAGTGAGGAAGAGGAGATGCAGGCTTTAACCTTTGAAGACTTGGGTCTGAAAGTGAGAGATTCCTGAACTAGATTACAATCAAAAGGGATTTAGATCAGAAACACTTCTAAAACCTTTACAGTAGCTGTTCCTAAGGTTCTGGTCATACTTAAGTGTACAAATAGCATGTAAGAGGAGAAGTTATTCGTAGCTTTCAAGATACATTTCAGGTTTATTTTGTCCATGTATAATTGTTGCTGAATTTTAATGGTGTCTGTCAAAAGAACAACTGTCTAATTCATTTTCCAGAAAAGAATACCCCCCTCAGCTTCAGAAGGTAGAAGCAGACCACATTAGGTTACCACGGTCTCAGAGAGTGGGTAAGTTATGTTTAGAGCGCTCATTTCTTTTAAGCAGAATAGGTTATGGTTTTTTTTTGCTTTGGGACTGTGTGTTACCAAACTTTGTGTAACCTTTAGTATACCTATTTGTCTCAGAGAGTGGGTAAGTTATGTTTAGAGCTCTCATTTCTTTTAAGCAGAATAGGTTATGGGGTTTTTTTGCTTCGGGACTGTGTGTTACCAAACTTTGTGTAACCTTTAGTATACCTATTTGTATCCTTATATGGACTTATACAATTTTGTGCATGAAGGAGGATTTTGCCCTTTTTGACTTATTTCTGCAACCTATTCAGTCATGTTATAATGAATTTTAAGTTAGCTTCAGTTATTTTAGAAACAACTAAATTGGGAAATTCAGAATCAAAGAATTGCTGGAGATGGAACAGACCTCTGGAGATCATCTAATGTAAGCCCAAGCCCCCAGCTTGTTCTTGAATTATGGACGAGGAACTCCTGTAGCACTGTTAGTATGTGCAAAATGTACCATTCATGGTTAATAACACTTGGTATCAAGTATATTCATGCACCGAGTTAGTGAGCAGAAGAGTTGGAGTTAGCCCTGCTCTGTACCTCTACTGAAGTATGCTTTTGTATCATTGGTTGGGGACTGTTGATGGGGAGACGGGAGAAAATACTGTTTGCTTTGAGGTATGGAAATTGTGAAATTGGAAGAGAAACATTACTGTGTTTGGTTGGGCTTTGTCAGTGCGGGTACAGATAGAATCTGTAAACCTGCTTTTCAGCTACTTTAGCCGTCTGCATTGGCCAGTTATGCTTCTGTGCCTGTTCAGATTAATGTTAAGTAGAAAATCTCACTCTGTACATTGTTAATTTATGAGTTTCTGGGTTCCTGTCCTCTTCAAGTATTTAAATGAATGCCCCAATATAAAACAATATGGCGGTATAGTTCACTGTACTGCTGAGTCTCTGTGTTGAAGGAATAAATCTTAACTGCACACAACATTTTCAGTTATTCTAAGTGCATCCACCAGCAGTCCTTCAGTGGAAATTACCACCAGCATAATCCATCGGATCCCCTTCTGCTTTCAGTAGCAGATGTAGATTTTAAATTCCAAAGTCTCCTCCAAAGATACTGAGCTACAAATTGTCACCAAGAGAAACTGAAATAGTATTAATAAACCAACATCAGGGATTTTTTTTTAATTCATACAACAATATTGTGAGACACTTGAAGCAGTGTGGTTTGTTGGATGTTTAAAAATGTGTTTATTTGTAATTCAAGTTAGTATATGTTAAAAATTAAATTGATCATAATTTTAACAGTATATAAGTAAGCATTTCTTGTTAACATTTTTGCATTTTTTTTTCCCCTCCTAGAAAGTATAATGGAAAACAGAGAAGAGTCGGAATCAGAATCAGAACCTGAAATTAAGAGAAAGGTGCAACAGAAACGTCACTGCAATTCATATCAATCTGACTTCACTCTATCTTCTGCTACAAAAAAATGCTTAACTCAGTTAAAGGTGGGTTAGATTTTAAAAACATGTAAATTAGGTTTTTAAAAACATGTGAAATGTGATGGAGATATTTAAGTGTGTATACTGATACTAGCTACAAAATACTTTTTTTCTGATTTTAAACAAACATGCTGCACTGGAAAGCAAAAGAGCCTGTGTTTAAATTGATTGGCTGATTGGTAAACCAGCAACTGGTAATTTTGGTTTCCTGTCTGAAATAGAGAAGTGATTTTACACTTTGACACATGTTGGTGTCTTTGTCATTTTTAGTGTCAAGATTTTCTGTACTGTTAACAATAAAGGTAGAGGTACTGCAGAGATGCAAGTACTTCTTCCTAAGCTGCTTTCCTTCCCAGTGAAAGTAGCACAGGTATCCAAATGGCATTCCCTGGTCTGGATGCAACCAACCAGGATGTTTTGTCTGGAACTTTTTTGAACATCAGATGTAGGATATTCTGAAAATTCCTATAAGGCTTTCTGTATTTGTTACCATCTTCCCAGGTTACTATGGAAGATTCATAATGCCTACACACAGGTCACACTTCATGTCTACAAAAGCAAAGCTTCCTGTAAGGAGATCTTGGTTAGAAAAAAAAAAAAAAAAAGTAGATCTTTGATTATTGTATATGATCAGCTTGTGTTTGCTCCTGTGTATTAGAAACCAAGTCTGATTGTATTTCTTTGTTAGGATAAAACACTTAGTGGTACTCTTACGCATTTCAATTACATATTTAGTTAATTAATATGATGTTATTTGGAAATTCTAGTAGCTGAAGTTTTGATCATAAACCACAACAATATGATCTCTATATAGATATGAACTATATAAGGTAAGTAATGATATAACAAAGCAGTTAGAAGCAACAGACATTATAGTTCTGTGGAGTTTGTATTAAGCATTACATTGATAACTCCATTTATGTTTGTTTGAAAAAGCAAAATATTCTGCACAGCCTAACTTCTGTCTGGTAAGGGACAAAACAAGAAATCAATCTTCTAGATTGAAATGAGAATTGAAGAAAACAATTTAAAAATAAATGGAGCAATAAAAAACCACCAAAACTAAAAACAAGAGTCTGAAGATCTAACAAATGTCATCTTTATGTCTTCTTTATAATTCGTGTGAATTAGCATGAGAGGAAGGGGGGCAGCCCCATCATTTGCTGGCTGGATTTTGATCAGTGTAGGCCATTTGCAGTAACTCCTAGCTCTAACTTGAAAACTCTTGTTTACATGTTGGAGCAAGGTGTGCTTTGAGCACACTCCTTACTAATGCAAGGCCAGAACTACTTCCTTGATGATAAACGTGGAAAATGAGGCCACAGTTGCATGTAGAAGCGTCAGCAGCTTCGTGTCCTTGAGCTAGATGGCATGTAGCTGACCACATTGCTACAACAAGCTGTTCTCTGTCTCCCTGATTAAAAAAGTATCAGACTAGATTACATTGTTCCAGGGGCATGATTTTATTTGCAAAGCCGTCAGACAGACTGCATTTGTAAGCAGTATTTAACAATTACATCTGCTACTTTTTCCCATGCATATCTTAGAAATCTGTAAAGTTGAGAACGCCAGCAGCCCGGAATAGAAACCAGTTACTTTTTCTGAGACCCTAGAGCTGAGTGCCTATGGTAAAGCTGTTCATCAGTAAGCTGAAGGAAAGTAACCCCCCCATATTTTTCGCACAATGTATTATGAGATTTTGAGAAGGGATTGATAATATTTGTGAGGCTGCATCATCATTAAAGGGGTTTATTTCAATTCAGCCACTGACTCAGGAAATGTTTAAGTTGGTAATTAAATGAAATAAGGAGGATATGTCCTTACTGTATTTGCTGTGCACCCAGCCATCTACCGATGGCCAATGCTGAAAGTGCAGCACAGGGCTAGATGAACCTTTACTTCAGTCCCATGGGGTAGTTATGATCCCATAAGACTGTGTAGTTTGAGGATACACCTTCTGGATATAGAACAGATCTTGCTGTGACTGAATTCACTAGCACAACTCTTTTTTTTTGTCAGGAACCGTATGCATTTTCATGAGCTGTGAGTTGTCTAAGTGTGCAGAAGATTGGAGGTTTATGGAACCTCTGAACAATTGGAAAGTGTTGGCTGTGGTTTTGTACCAGAGGAATCACAAACATAACCAGCTGCTTGCCAGGCAATGTGCAAATGGTTTTCATCTTATTAGGCTATAACAGGTTGCACTTTTTAATTGCTAAAAGTGTACATAATTTTTAAAGGAAAGAGGATTTTCTTCATCATATGTGCTTACTAAAATAAAACCTGAAAATCAACAAAAGCTTTGGATTCTGAAACAATTTAGATGTAGGGCACAGTATTTTTATAGAGCATATAGTGCTTGTGTTTTATAGGTTTCAGAGTTTAAAAAAATTCTGTATGATACAAGTTATATGGCATTCACATTTAGGTAGAACTGATCTATTTAAGTAGTCATTTATGTTAAAAAAAGTCTAAAAAAAGAATATGCGCCTCTTAATTAAACACTGCTACCCCTACCATCAAGACGTAGGCTCTGAAACCGTGGAAAGGAAGTTGGTTTTAAGTTTCGTGCGTGTGGTTGAAATAGAGGGGTGCATTTATTCTGTACTTAAGATCCTTCGGGTACAATTGGTAGCTTCTGTTGAATATTTTTAGTGTCTGATTGAAATTCCTCAATGCATTATTTTTGTAAAAACTACATCCTGTAACTGAGCACTGAGGCACAACAGTGGTTTTCATGTTACAATCTTATCTCCTCGCTCAGGTTTTAAAGGCTGAAGGTCTGATACATTTTATACACTGGGGCTTTGGGGCTTTTTTTTGCATCTGCTTTGCTATGGTATGTGTAGCTTTTATTAAACTGCAAAAAAAATATGTACTCCTTATATGACTTTACATTTGTTTGGGGTTTTCCTAAATGGTTGAAGATCCCACACCAAAGGAAGTCCTCGTTATTGGATAACTGTTTGTTCATGGCTGGGGGTGATGGCTGTGTTTTGGAAAATCATGCCTTTGCCATGGTAGGATACATTGTCCATATTTTCCATTGTGGCCCCTGCTTTGCTCTTGAAAGTCTGGGGAACTCCTCCTTGTATCCAGTTTTCTTTTCTGAGAAAACTGTAGAGCAATGGATTTCTCATTTCCACACACCCACCCTCCTGGCTTTTTTGGTTTTTTTTCTTAGAGGAGTGATTTTTCTACATGCTTTGCCAGGCTGTTGTCCTGGGAGGATAAATTAACTTCATGACCTGGGACATTGCTTCTAGTCCTCTTTAGCATTGCTGTATGGATTCTTTGGTTATTTTTGTCAAATGAAACTGTTTTTACAGAAATGATGTAACTGGACCTTCCTGCTGGTGGATATGTGTATCTGAACAGTGTGCAACCTTTCACATATGAAAAGACAAAAGGCAAGAAGGAAAATTTGAGTTGTCCAACATTAGTAACTTTTAAAAAACTGTCACAAATTACATTTGTTCCTGTTAGAACATTTTTCATTCTCTTAAATGCTAATATAGTGTTGTCAGTCTTCATTATGAACAGAAATTAAATGCAAAATTTGAAAATGTTATCACTGTCCTTACCCAGTTACTGATTCTGTGTGTGTTTTTCTCTAGCTTTTGGAACAAATCGATTATTCTACTAATTGTCCAAATTGTGGACGGGCGAATGAAAAGCAGACCAAATGCCGACATTGTGAAAGTGCTTCTCTGCAAAGAGTCTCCAGACAAACTGTGTCATTAAGCGAATCTGTGGGACCTTTATCACGTTCTTCAATACATCAGAATTCAACAGGGCAAAAATCTTCAGGTACAGGGTTCAGCACAAAGAAGTTTTATAGTTCTACTGTTGGGAAGGGTCCAACAGATATTCTACTGAGTAGCGAAGTTGTAGGACATTCTATGTTGCGGCAGAATGGAAAAGTTGGTCTTATAACTGGGACAAAAAATCCTAAAATTACAGGAAGCTTAAGACAGAGGAGTACAAGGCCATCTGAACTAAATGATCCAAGTAAGTATCTTTCTATGACTGTAGTCATAAACTGGAAACCCTAAATGTTGTGTAATGAAGGAACTGTCCTTTCAGGTTTATGTTACTGATTTTAGGTGGAATTGTTTTGTGGATGTGTTCTTGGGAAGTCGGACAGAGCTGTTTGTAATTTCTTTTTTATATACTGGGGTACTTTCTGAGGAAGATCTACATTGAGGAAAAGAAAAAATATTTTATGAGTCTCTTTTGTTTAAAAAAGATTTACACTTTATAAGTTTTAAGAAAGCATTCTCAGCAGAATTCTATCATTCATTCTCTCAAAGGGGCAGTCTTTGAGTCTTTATTTTGTATTTTTCCCTCTTTCATAATTTGTAAAATGTCATTTTTTCTGCTTTCTCTGTGTAAACTCAAATTAATTTATAAGCAGGAAAGAACTGGAATTTGGGAACTTATGTTTCTAGTTCCATGCTTAGTTTACTAGACCATGTTGTCTTACTGATCTGAATAATTTCATTCATAATTTTTCTTGTCAGTTTCTCTGAAGTTGTATTATTTGCTGTCAATGCTTGATTGCACCAAGAAATGTATGGCTTTGCTTCTGTGTCTAGAGGCAAATTAATGATATCCATTTCTTGTATAGTTAGTTGTGAGAAATAAAAAATGAGGGAGAGAGCACCTGTGAGTAGATTCCAAATAAACAGTAATAAAAGCATAATATAATGATAAATGTGGACTTTTTGTGGCACTGCAGGACAATTACGTAAATTACTTTTAAGGTATTTCTTGAAATATCTGTTACAGAAAAATGTAGTGGTTGAGAATTTAATATTTTCTGTTTAGTTGTTTTGTCTAGTGATGATGATGAGGAGGAGGATAGTGGCAGCACTAGGAGAATGGAAAGCATTTCACCTCGTCCTGCAGATTCAGCCCGCTCCTCCCCAGCTCCTTCTACAGGCAAGGTGGAAGCAGCATTAAAGGAAAACAGTTGTGGAATAGAACAGAGAATAGGTAGTATAACAACAGATTCAGAAATTGCAGTCACACTACCAAGAAAAGCAAGAATGAAAGATCAGGTACTATTTAATGCTTTGTTTAAACAAAACAAAACTCAAATCATAAATGGAAAATGTAAAGCCTTGTTTTGCGTTGTCAGAAGTTGACTATATTTGAATGCTTGTATTATTTAGTAGCTCATCAAGTAGTAATCTCTGCTTACGTAATACTGGAAACATGAAAATACATCCATTGTATTCTTACAGACGTTCTTAATTTTAACATAAATGCTTCTGTGTTGATTGTATACTCTTTCAGATGGGGTGGGGTATCTCTGTGAAACTCAAGGGCCTACATAGTTTGCAGAAGAATGTCAGGCTGTTGCCTGGTAAGACTTTGGACATACAAAGTTAAACACGAAAAGAGACACTGGGAACAGTAGTGGCCCTTTAAAATCAAAATACTTTGACAAAAGTCCCAATTATTATAACTTATTTTTGGGATTTCATTGTGGGACTTTTGCTTTTTAGTTGAGTACCACTGCAAGAATTGAATAAACAAAGACGCTTAGGTGCCATCAAAGGGGACAGCTTTCACAGTATGTTAAAGTCTTATCCACCTTCAATAGTGAGGCATTATGAAGAATAAATTCCCTGTGGCAACTGGTATTGAATTAATAGTGCTGATTAAAACCATTTTTTGGTCACCTGTTCAGTTTCACTATTGCAAGTTTGGTTTAATAAGAGCATTTAATCAGATTTCCACATGCTGTCTGAAATCCTTTGTGTTTCCTGAGTTAGAATGCTAAAGTAATGATGCCAAAACTTTCATACTATATTGAGATTCAGAAGCCAACATTCTAGTGCTGTAATTGATGCCGTTATGGATGTTTATAATGTGGTGTATAATTGGTTACCACTAGCAATATAAAGCTTTTGAACCTCTAGCCTGCAGTAAAGCTTGGATGATAATTACTTTTGAACTTCAGTTGTTCTGACTTTATATGCTGGATTAATTGAACATGTTACACTATGAAGGCACTGGTGTCTACGACTTCTGAAACTCTCCCAAATGTTTCATAGAATCGTAAAATGATTTCTTGTGTATATCCATATGTTCCTGTTCACTAGTCTTCAAGAACCGGTTGTAAAATTGGAAATTAACTGCATATTGTAGTCAAAAATAGGCAAGAGTTTGCTTTGGAAAACAGGTTTTTTTTGTATTTTTTTTTTTTGTGTTTGTTTTTTTTGGTTTGGTTTGGATTTTTGTTTTGGGTTTTTTTTTTTGGTTTTTGGTCTTTTTTTTTAAGGCTTTAAGAAGCCTTTTGTTTTTCTCTCAAAATATGTATTAATTCTTTACTGATGAGACATTTTTAATGTGGAAACACTTTAATGTTTTCTGGTTTACAGTGACATGAGTTTTGAGCTTTTAATAATATTTAGCTAGTCCAGCAGACAAAAATGAAAAGCTGTCTTCAACAAGAGTCTTAGGAAAGTATTTTAATTTGCAGGGTTTTAGAATCTCTCCCTTCTCCTCTATCGTTAGATGAAACATCAGAAAGTGTATTTTGCATTATAGCCAAGATAGGCCATAGTGATTAGGGCCTTCAGCACAATTGTCAAGATTTAGTCTTAATAGAAATATTGGATACCTTAAAATGTTTTTTTCTGTGGGAGTTTATCTTTTGCAATCCAAAAGAATGTTTGTTAATGGACATCTGTATGAAACAACATAAATACTAAAGAAAAGACTAGTGTATAGAAAATCATTCCAACAAAACAGAACAATATAAGCAGTACAAGAAATATATTAATCTGACAGCTATCAGCCAGCTTGCTTTCATTTTAATACTTTTTTAAAATACTGTTCTGTTGGTAAACAGGAGACTTCATTGAAAGTAGAGCTTCAGTCAGTATCTAGAGACTTTCTTGAACTAGAGCCAAACTCCATGTGGCCTCCTTTCAGCATTTAGTCTTCTGGCCCTGGAATTTGTCCTAAAAACATCTCAATAGTTCTGTAGAGTTGCTGTAAGGATTTTCATTGGGCTTATTTATTTAAGTTCCTTGAAGATTGCTCTCCTGATAATGTGATGCACTGTACTTCAGTAATTACTCGATGTTTTCAGTCACCAAAACCTTAGACTAATAAAAACTGAAAGAAAAAATAAAACCACCATCATTGTGGTACTTTTACAGCATTGGTGGTTTTTGTATGTATATAAACAAATTATATTAAAAATAACCTTGTTTTGTCAGGCTGCATGGTGCTTCAAAATGACAAAAACTAAATTGGTTTTGGCAATTTTAGAAGCGCTGTTTGTGATTTGGAATTATTAACAAGTGCCAGCTTGCTTCTTTTTTTTTTTCTTGAATCGAGCAATAATAACATCTTCAGGTGTTTCAAAAAGTCTTAGGAATTTTTTTGCCTTTTGTATATGGTTGAGGGGGATGTTATAGTAAATAATTCTGTTTACCAGCAGGAAGGTACTGAAAATTAAGTCACTCGTTTTTAACAGGATTGTTTTAGCAATAAATCTTAGTGAGACATACTGAAACCTTGACAATTGCTTTTCAGTTTGGGAACATTGTGTCTAACACTCCAATAAAACGTCGTAAAGTTATTTCTCAAGAGATTCTAACTGAGACTGTACCACTGAGTTATCAAAATTCCTGTGAAAGTGTCATTTTGAACTGTCGAAGTATACGAATAGGAACGCTACGAAGAATGGTAGTGGAACCTGTGATTGTAAGTAAACTTGTTATTTGGAAAATTAGGTTCAGGTTTTGATGGGCATTGTTATTTTCATACTTGAATAACATATTTTGCCTTTTCCCAGAGTAGTAAGTTTCTCTAACTTCAGGGGCTGTGATTCCTAAAGAATCCCCAAATACTGTTATGTACTAATGCATATGATCTAGTTCTGGTGTTCAATATACACATCATGCTTTCAAATCTCTTGAAAACCCTGTTTACATGCTTGGGGAGGGGCTTATGGATGAGTGTGCATTTGTTAAAAACGTTGAAGATAACAGCTACAGGAATAAACATGTCTGCAAGTGAATAATTTTACTTCTGTAGAACAATATTTTTTTGTTAGCCTTCTAAGATACATGGGCACTTTCAAGGAGACATTGAATGTTAGCTGTATGCAGTAAGCAAGATAAAATGCATACTTCTTGCTTGAGTAATCACATAAATAGCAGAGAGGTATTGATCATTCTTTCCACCTTTGCAAAACCCTATTGCTTGATTTGGTTAAATACTGATACTGATAGGTGACATTCTCTTCTGAGGGTTTTTTTTTTTTTTTCTCCTTATAATTTGTGGCATTTCTCAGAGTATTTTAAACCTTTTTGAAAATGGATTACTTAAATCTTAGGTTTCCACAGTTACTATGACTGAAAGAGACACTGAATAGTTAGTAAAGATTTACTTGCTTCATGGAGTTGTGCTAAAATGTACACTTTTTTTTTGTAAATTATATTTTACATTTTTATTTTAATTTTTTCATTACTTAAGTACTTAGTCAAATGAAGTATGTTTGCTAACAGCTAAAAGGTATTAAGTCAGTTCTGGTTTGGAGAAGGTGTGAAATCTTACTGTTGTGTTGTCTTCCACAGTTTTGCCTGGATTATATCAAAATACGCCTAGAAAGTCAAGAAGGTGAGCATATCTTTCATTTCATGTTAATACTCATTATATGTATGCTGAATGAAGAAATTTATTAAAAAGGAATTATCAAGTGAAAGGAATTATCAAGTTGAATCATAATGAAATGTCAGTTCTGCCTTTGTCATGTACATAATATACTGGGTGCCTGTACCCAAATAAGTAGGGGATGGGGGAGGGGTGGGAAAAAGGCCGAGTGTAAATTTGACCTGAACTGCCTGGTGAATAAAAACCAAAATGATTTTGCATCATCTCTGCCTTCTACTGACAGAAAGAAATTCACAGATAGCAGGAATTAGCAGTTTGTGGCGTGCTTGCAACTGGGTTATTAGTTCTTCCCCTTCATTGTAGTTGAAGAGCTGTAGGTATTCTGGTGATGGTTTGCAAAGGTTTTCTTGAAAATAATTAACAAAAGCAAGAGGCAAGAGTAACTTCCTATAAAAGGTGTTATCTCTTTAACACTTTCTTAGTTCTTTCATTTGAGATGCATAAGTAGGCTGTAAAAGCCACTCAGCTGTGTTAGACCTTTCCTGTCTGTATCTCCCTTGCAAATTTTTTCTTCTCTGGCCTAAACTTAGTATATTTCATGTTACTGAAAGAAATGCAGTGACATAGTTTAGGAAATGGCGAGCTTACAACTGTTGCTCCATTTCCTTTGTTTTCTTTTGTAGGATTTTGCTTTGAGCCTGAAAACAAGCTTTGCCTCCTTTTGTTAATCTTAAATTTTCATGAAGATGCAGTCCTATTGAATTTTATATTTTGGTATTTGTAAAAGAGTACTATTGCATTTTGGCATTCTTATATGCATAAAGGTGTCTGACAACCTGTAAAGATAAGCGTATCCTTTGGTAACTGAAGTGTTTAAGTTTCTGTCACATCTAAAATAGAGATGCATAGAAACTACCACTTTTCATGTATTAAATGTATTAAAAAAAAAACACCCCAAACCACTAAAAAGCTTATTAAAATTTGTAGTAAATACCTGTCAATTTTTAGTCAGAACAGCTTCAGGGTGAAATTATTTCCATGGGACTTGATCACTCAATAGCATAAAAATGGCAGCTCGTTAAATGCTGTGTTTCTGCATTTATTGGAACATTTGCTATTTAGGGTTTTTTTGAGTTTTGCATCTGGAGGAAGATGGGTGTATTCCCCGCTAGCTCCATTTCGGTGAACTTCATAATCGTAGTATGATTTGCTTAAATACAAGTAAGGGTCTCAAAATAAAAATGACACCTACTGTTTTTTCTTTAGGACTATTACAGTGGTCATGCTTTTTCATGGAAAGGCAAATGCTTTGGACAGCTGTAGAAACAGCAGTACTGTCCTGTCTTGAGCCTGTTTTTACATGTACAAATATATGTCAAGTTCTCAAAATTTTCTTCACATTTCTTCTCAGTTTTCTGCAACTCCCAACTGGTGTTTCAAGGAAACAGCTTTCTAATATGTAAAAAAAACTGTTCTTGTTGCCTTTAATTAATAAGTCCTATTGTCTGTCTTATGTCAGTGTTATAGGAAATATTGTTCACAGGTTAAGGCATTTATGGTAAAATATGTTATGCTTGTCTTCATGCAATATAAATATAATTTAAATTTTCATCTGAAGAGTAGACAGTCTTCCTCACACAGGAAATGCAGTATGCTTCGTCTCAGTGTAAACAGTCACAAGGAGACCAACTAAGTCATGTTTTGGCAATGTTCTCTATCTAGACACAGTTAGAAGGACCTGTATGCTTCAGTTAAATAGGTTGAATCTCAGTTTAAGTTGGGATTGTCATTACTATGGTCTGCCTCTGAAAGTGAGAAATTAGGTAAAATGAATTAAGTGCTTTCATTTAGGAAGGAGAAAACTGGCTGACAGGCCATACCCAGAAGTTCGCGGTAAATAGCTCCTTTACAAACTGCCTACCTGTCACAAGTGGTGTCCCTCAGGGATCAATATTGGGCCCAGTGCTTCTTAGTATCTTCATAAGTGATCTGGAAGATGGCATTAAGTGTACCCTGTCAAAGTTTGCTAATGATGCCAAACTGTGGGGAAGTAGACACTTTGGAAAGGAGAGCCACCCTGCAGGATTACCTGGATAGACTGGAAGAGTGGGCTAACAAGAACCTTATGAAGTTCAGCAAGGACAAATATTAGGTCGTGCACAGCTGGGAAAATGTAATCTAGGTGTGCAGCACAGGGTGGGATCTACCCAGCTGGGGAGCAGATCTGTTGACTGAGACTTTGGGGTCCTGACAAGACAGCAAGCTCCATATGAGTAAACAGGATGCAGCTGTATCAGGATGCTGGGTTGCATCAACAGGTGCATCACCAGCGGAGATAAAGATATTATTATCCAACTCTACATAGTGATTTTCAGGCCACACCTGGAACACTGTGTTCAGTTTTGGTCCCCACTATACAAAAAAAATGTGGAGAAGCTGGAGAGGGTCCAGAGAAGGGCCACAAAAATGGTCAAAGGATGGGAAGCCTGACATGTGAGGAAAGGCTGAGAGACCTGGGTTTGTTCATCCTAAATAGTCTCAGAGGAGACCGTATCACCGTGTTCCAGTGAAGGGTTGGTACAAAGAAGATGGAACTTCCTTTTTACAAGGAGTCACATGGAAAAGACATGGGATAATGGCACAAGTTACTCCTGGAGAGATTCTGACTGGACACGAGAGGAAGAATTTTCACAATGAGTACAATCAGCCATTGGAATAATCTCCACAGGGAAGTGGTGGATTCCCCAACTTTGAACACTTTTAAGATTCAGCTGGACGGAGTGCTCAGCCATGTAGTCTACACTGTTGTTGCCAAGAAAGTTCTGAGCAGATGATACTTGAGGTCCCTTCCAACCTGGTATTCTGTGATTGAAAATTGAAGTATTACGGTACATGCTGAGGTATTACAGCCTAGCTTTGGAAAACTATTTTGTTTTTTTGTTTTAAGCAAAAAAGAGGGAAAGAAAGACTCATAAATGAATTACCATCTATGGATTTTCATTTAGTTACTAACTTCGTTCTCTTTTATATAAGTCCTTAAGGAGAGAAAGGAGAAATCAGGGCAAGGCGACGGGCTAGTTAGATAATGTACCATATTTCTGCTGCCCAGTGGGTTTGAAGGGAGTATGCTGTTGCTGCAGCCTGACTTAGAGCTGGGCTGCTTCTTCCCCAGTTAGTGGGACCAGAGGTATATGAGGTTTGGAAGAAAGGAGGGCTGCTTTGCTGTGCAGAAGCCCTGGTGGCCACCACTTCCAGTCTGCAGCCAGTGAATACTTGCTTTTGGTAACTGTTTAACTATTTTCCTTGGCTGTACAAGCAGCAGACTCCTTTTGTGGGAGCCACGGGTGAATTCAGTAGCCAACAGAAGGGAGGATGTAGAGTATAGACATTTATTTATTTATTTATTTATTATCGTATGGTGTTCTGCAGTTATGCTCAGGGTGATGCGGATTGGGTGGTACTAGTTCTACTAATTTTCACTCACCATCTGTCTGACCAAGATACATTTACAAATTTAACTGAATAAAAGCCTAAGTATTTTCAGGAATTCCCTACAGTGTCTCTTGCCTTTTACAGGGAAAGGAGGAGAAGGCAGACATGTTGCATTGATTTTTTTTTTTTTTTTTTGATTTTTTTTTTTATTAGAAGGACTTTATGTTGGCTCCTGTTTTCTATCCTGTTGATGGTATGGCTCCTATATAGCCTCTGTGGTGGAGGCTGCCACTAAATAAAGCTTTAACTGATTACCATTAATAATTTTTCTAATGTTCATTCATCATTCTTTTAATTTTGAAGTTATTTTTGATAAGGGAGCTTGATCAAAGGTAAGTGTACAAAGAAAGTTTTACAAACTTTACAAACTACAAAACAAACACAGCGATAGTTGTGAATTTAAATCACTGGAAATCATGTTTTTTCTGTGGAATTAAAACTGGATTAAAGTTTGTGAGAAGAAGACACTTTGTTTCTGATTACTTTCCTGACAGGTGAGAGTGGAGGAGTTCAGTCTGTCTTTTAAGGTATTAACAGGCATCGCTTCCTGAATATGGGTTAATTTCATATATTAGAATACTTTTTATAAAGTTAATGAGCGCATACTGGTTCCTTGTTAAAATCAGAGGAGAAATTGCAAAGCAAACCTATCTATTTTTACTATAATTTAATATGTCATTATTTTCTTCTAGAATCAGAAAGTGATATCCGAGAAATTAACCTGAAAACTTCAGAACTTACCAAATGTGAATGGTGTAGTGTACGAAAATTACCAGTAGTTTTCTTACAAACAGTACCATCAACCTGTAGTAGCCTGAGAGAACAACTGAAAATGAGTAAAGATAATGTCTGGTACGAATGTAAAGGAGACAGTAAGTAAAACAATTTTAGTCTACTGTTTTCTTTAAATTACCTTTTAATGTTTTACATCATGACAGTGAACAAAACACTAAAATTGACATCATTGGCAGGGGCAGGTGTCATGTTTTCCCAGACTATCACCTTCCCAGGCTGATGAGTACAGTTCAGAACAGCTTGGCAAAACTGTATAGTCTTCTGTCTGCCCAGACATGTGCTAGTTACAACAGTTAAGTCGGTTTAGTATGGCTTTTTTCCACTAATATTTGTGCTGAATGTGAAAGCAAGTCTCTTTAGCTTTTGGGCCTTTATGTTTATAGGACAGTTTTGGGTTATACTTCCATCTGCTTTCTGTGCTATTCTGCTTACAGGCCTGAGTTTAAGTAGAAACTGTGTGAGCTGATTTGTTGTTTTTCCCCATATACTTGTAGTGATTTTGTGATGTAAACTAATGCCTGCCTGGAAACTAAGTAGATTGTCTTCAGGAATCTTAACATTAATTTCAGCATAGTTTTCCTCAAGGGTCTAGCATCTTAATATGTGCACTATTTTTTTCTAAATTAGCATAGTCCTCTTCCCCTTAAATAGGCTTTTCTTTAGGTTAAATTTTGTGGTTATTTATACTTGCACTCAGCTTCATAGATACATGTTGCATTCAAATGGAGGAAGAATGCTTTCAACAATCTCAGAATTGTGTGCTTCCAAGACATAATACTATTTTAATAAGCTCATCCACTTCCCATAAAAAGTATGAGCTGTAAGGAGTATTGTAATTACAAAGTAATTAGCATGCTGGGAAGCTAGAGACAACCCTGGGAGTAGGCATTAGACCCCAAATGAACACAGGTGTTCACAAGTGAAAAAAGCCTCCTGAGTTGTCTGGGTAGAGAAATCCTTCCTTCATGTCTCTCAGCCTTTCTCTCCCTAGCTTTTTCCTCTGAGGCTGTGGTGCTGACCTAGTTTTATACCCAACTGCTTTATTGTACTTCATGCTTAGGAGTACTTTGTGGTAAGACTTGCCATTTGCTTTGTGAGCAGTGAAATTACTGTAAGCCTGAATCCATAGCTGTGTAAGCAATTGTGTTTGTGTTCCCAAAATAGGACCTCTCTAAACCCAGTTATCCACCTAAATTCTGTAGGTGGTGAATTGGGAAATATGCTACTGAAGAATTACTTTATGGGACAGTTAGCGTGCTGAGTTAAAAATAACCAAAAGGAAATGGTTATGCATATGTCTGAAACTCTTGTCTTACAGAAAAACAGGTCCCTGCTGCTCTGAGTTAGCCAGCTATGTGAGACTGGGGTTTGCAGCCTGAATCCTGTTCCTGTGTCTAACTGTCTAAATCCTCCTAGTGCAATTTACTGCTTGTTTATTTTTCAGATTGTGTGAATAGGTGATATTTACACAATAGCTGATCAATCTGACGCACATTTTCCAATTTTTGGTAAAGGGATACTGTGACCTGTTGAAGCCACTGTACCAAAAAAAAATGCCAGATTTATTAGGGCTACCAAGAGTAAGCATGAGAGAATATGGTATTCTGCTCATAGAATGTTCACCACAGGCAGAGAGGTTTTTGATTGTTTGTTACAGGACCTGAAAGAAGGGCTTTGCTCTTCTAGATGGTGAGATCACTTTACCTGTTTAAGGAGATGAAGATTTTGATTACTGTGACATTTTCAGTTCCTTTCTTTCTTCAGATGCGTACTTCTTAGAAGTGAAACTGGTTGCTAGTGGATTTGAGATCCTTAAGAGATTTCTGTTTCTATGGTAACAGAAATCTGATCAGAGAAAAAGAACTTTCTTTCATGAAATTTCCATTACAGGTTTTCGTACTTCTGTAACCAAAACATGTGCCTAGAATCAGTAAGAGTAGTTTTATTAGAACTTGATGCCTCTAATATGCGTTACCTGGTTTATATGCACTTTTTCAAAAAACGTCATGCTTATTTTCCCATTTAAGTCTGGAAACAGTCATCTCAAAAATGTACTTTTTTTCCCCTCTTCAGTATTCTATTCCATTTAGTCTCTAAGCAGTGGTTTTAAGTTTTGTGTCCTACTTGCTAGCTGCCCCAGGTTAAAGCAGTATCTCTTTCAATCTGTCAGTGTTTCTCACAAACTCTATTGTCTGAAACACCTGACATGTAGATGTCAGTGCTGTATATACATGTAAAAATTATTCTTGTAGACTGTGTTAGCTAAAAGGCTAGGGACCTCTGGGCTTATATGCTGTGACTTTAATATGTAAGATTTTCAAAAGGCAATAATGTCACCTTCTAGGATCAAGGCAGACCATGAATCTACCTGAATCATGGGGTCTCATATGCTGCTTTTGTTTTATTTAGCATATGTTGTCTTAGTTCTCCCTTTTTTCTTTCCCTTTTGTAATCGCATCTATTTGAAAGTAGGAGATAACCAGGCAGAAATATTTTAAATAACATGTAGACATTGAAGGGGTTAAGTAAATGAATGCCAGACCATGAAAGCCCCTGTAGGTTCTTAATACAGTTCTCCTTTTCTAATAAATTTCCACAGATGGATATATATCAATCACAAATGGATTGTTTTTTGGTTTGTTTTTTTTGAGAGAGAGAGCTGCTCTAGACTTTTTAGCATTGACCTGGGAGAAATTAGGGCATGGTGTTTCTGTATATAGAGAGGAAATTATGCTGAATACATAATTTCTGGAATTGTATTGAAACAGTAGGATTATAGAAAAACAGTAGAACTATAATAAGAAAAAATAAGATAACATTAAATAAAGAATAAAGAAAAAATGTAGGTAGAAGGGCTTCATAGTTAATTCTTCTATCGGTATTACTGCTTGCATATATTGTCGACAGTGTATGTGGGTGTTGGCACATGAGCCTTTGAAATCTGTTCATTCTTGCAACGTATTTTTTTTCTAAATAATTTTCTCTGCTTTTTTGTAGGTCAAGAAGAGCAGTATATAATTTTGATTTTTGAAACTGGTCTTGATCCTCATGCAAATTCAATATTTGAAAAAATTATTACTGACATTGGTATTAGAAATAATATTTCTGACTTCTTTGTGAAAATTTCCTTTGAAGAGGCCAATGGCAGGCTTGTTGCTTTTACCAAGTGCTTGGAAGACAATTCCAAAGGAAGCCCATCTCACAGAGAAAACAAAATAAAAAATGTAATTATATTTTTGTCAAAGTCATTATATTATTTGGGTTACAAATACACTAAAGTTAGTGTGCTAGTCCCCAGAGCACCCCAAAATTATCAACAATTTCTGCTGGCTTTTATATGAGGATTTTCAGACTGCATCATGGTGGGTTATGAAACTATGGGAAATACTCTGTGCATTCACAATACTTTTTAGTGTGGTCCACAAGAAGTGTTGCAATTTAAAATTACGAAGAGATGAGAAATCTTTACTACAATGTTTCCAAATTAATCTACTTGTAGAATGGTAATATTTTAAACAAGAAATTAAGTTGCAATGTTGTAGTTAAATTTAATCAGTGCTTTCTTTAAACAAAACTTCCTCTTAAAGAATTTGAAAGATTTGTGACTCTGCAAGAAATAAGAACAGACCTAAATGTAAGAAATTAATTAGGAAAGGAAAAAAAACAACAAACACTTGAAGTCTTCACAAAAGCAGTGGGTATTACACTGCTGGACTTCTTAAAGCTTTACTACCTTTTTCGTAAATTTGAGCACACTGTGCAAATTGATTTTCACTTTATTCTGTTAAGGTTGCTTCTGAATCCAAAATGCAGCAGCGAAATAAACAATTACCATATTTTGATGATGATGAAGAAATTGGAGAACCACACACAGTATTTATTGGTCCTATTGAAAAGTAAGATGTTTATCTTTCCCTGTATTGATTCTCTGAGGTTTTTTTCAGCCTGTCATTATTGATTATATTTTGTTTTTTTCTTTTCAGGTTGATAGTTTATCCACCTCCTCCAGCTAAAGGTGGTATTTCTGTGACCAATGAAGACCTCCATTGTCTAAATGAAGGAGAGTTTTTAAATGATGTTATTATTGATTTTTATTTAAAGTAAGTTTTATTTCAAATAATTTTTTTGTTGTCTTTGAAACCTGAAAAATTCCTACACTAAAAATTCATAAGTCAGTTGATAATACTTGGTCTCCAAGTATATATAGCTCTAATTTAAAAGGTTGTTTTGTATCTTTGCTAGAAATTTTGATTCCTCTGCTATCCTGCTTGACAGTGACATTGTTCTCACTTGGAAGAAAGGTTCTTTAAAATTTCTTAGCATCTGAAGAGGAATTTTAACTGGAAAAAAAGACATTTTTTAAGTTCACTTGTTTTTTTCCTGAGTATTTGTATTTCGTGGAATTTCATTTGTTCTGATTAACATAATACATACATTTTTTTTTTTTTGTGTCACTGATGCTACAGCTACTAGAAGTATATTATGTTGTTATGTGCAGCTGTGTTTATGCTACACATAAAGCACATGCGTATAATTTTCAGTCTACTAAAATATTTTAGAAGTAAAAAGAAGATCAGTGCATCACTCTGGGAGTGTTTGGAGATTTAGTGGCTGTTACAGACTATGAATCTTTCCTAGATTTTATATGTATTCTTTATGTAATATATTAATTGAAAATTTATCTTGCTGCCATGATCTAAAAACAAATACAACAGCAGCAAAACAATTTGATTGAACAGAGAACTTAATATCTTGAAATATTTGGAACAGATTTTGCCTTAATTAATTCCTGTGGTTAGTTAGCTCTAATACTCTTTTATCTCTTTTGTGAAAGGCTGTAACAGTGTGGTGGGGAGGTAGCACTGTTGGAAGTCCTTTTTACTTTTGGGAGAATACTTTGATGGAATTCACCTCCATGATTTTTTTTCTTTTGCTTTTTTATTTTTACTAACTAGATATTTGGTACTTGAAAAACTGAAAAAAGAAGATGCTGATAGAATACATGTGTTCAGTTCTTTCTTCTATAAACGCCTTAATCAAAGGGAAAGGAGAAATATTCATGAAACTTCAAACCTTTCGTAAGTCTGTTGATAAGTCAGTTTAACTAAGAGCTAAGTAGAGGGAAGACTACAAGAAGAGGTGCTTTACAGAGGTAAAATCCTTATAGACAATATTGTGCTACCAACAGAACTCTAGGAAGCATCCAGACCTATAACAGACATAAAATAAATGAAAATCTTAAGAAGCTGTTAAGGTGAAAATATCTGGAAAAGTAGTCTTTCACTTAAAATAAGCCAGCCTACAAATCATGTGTTTTTCTTGCAGAATACAACAAAAACGACATGGGCGAGTAAAAACATGGACACGACATGTTGACATTTTTGAGAAAGATTTCATTTTTGTTCCCCTTAATGAAGCGTAAGTAAATGAACTTTTCTGTCACAGTCAGTAACGCTTTAAGCCCTCCTCATTCTGAAACTGAAAGTAATAGTGTGAATTGAAACTAAAAATTAAGAGAATAAACATACTTTTCCAGGTGATTAAAAAAAAACAGTTATGAACCTTTAAGTTCATTGTTGTCGTCTAAGAAGTATCAGACAGAATAAAGACTGAGAAAAAATGAACTTCTCTGAGTACTTCTTCTGAACCAGTTCAGAGAATCAGTTTTACCTTGTTCTCTGAAGTTCATTCTTCTAAGTAGTTATTGCTGATAATTTTTGGATTTACCTTTTTTAGCCCTTACTTTTTGTTCTGATGAGATCTGTATGGTTTACGTGAAAACATTCCTTAGTTATATGAAACCTATATTGGAAGAAAATGCAATTGAAAATTCTACTGCCCTATATTTAGAGCTTGATTCTTTTTCTTTATATCCATTTGTCCTGATAAGTTTCTTGGGTCAGGAAGCAGACAGATAGCATTCTAATAGTTGTTAAGGAGTTTAATGGTGTTTGCTTTCTTTAAGATCAGAGCAAGTTGTCACAAACACATTTCCATGTTTCATGAATAGAATCTAAGCTGTCCTTAATATTTAGGAATGTTAAACTGCTGCATTTAAAATATATACAATAAAAACATGAGTAAAGGACGGAGAGACAAGAGAACTGTAGCTGACATATCATAGGCATGCCTAACAGGTCTTTCAGTAATTCAAAGAACTTTGGGGTTTTTTAAATTAGACTGTCTTCAATGAAATGTGTCTAGATACTATGCCATTGTACAGTGGGAGGAAAATTTCTCCTCCCTGTCTGAATTCTGAGGCTAGCTGTAGAGAGGCAGTTATGAGATAAGTGACCAGAGATCTGTTGTAAAGTTGAAAGTAAGTCCTTTAGAAAGCTGTTTACAAGTATGGACTTTGGATTTTGAGATGCTATGACCTCTGTATAGCCATGGGAAGTCAGCCAGCCCTTAGGTAGTAAAAATGACTCAGTTGTAAGATAATTCTCCCTGTCCACTGCAGGCTTCATCCTTGTCATCCCTCTCCTCCGAAGCTTTAAGTGCGATAATTTTGAGGTGTCTGTCACCTAAATTTTTGTTGCTTTAAAGCTTGTTGCATACTTCATATTCTGCTTTCAGAGGCCACTTTAACTGCCTTTGAATTTCAGTAGAATTGAGGCTTTGTAATTGTCTAATTTTTAATGTCTGTTAGACATGCATTTTTAAATACTGTTTTTCTTTTTTTTCCTAAACCACCTGCATAATACATAGTGAGGTTGTGTTTTGCTATTTGCTGTAGGGAATCTATAGGGAATCAGAAAACCTTCAGAAAATTTCTAAATCGGGTCAGTCAGTATCTATTTGCAGTGCCTCAGTCCCTGAATTTGCTACTGCTCCATTTCTGATGGAGTGGCAAGTCAGTGAAGTCTGAAGAGGGAATAGGAGATAAAAAGGAAACTGGAGCAAAACTTACTTTGTTTTGGGGGAAATAACTGGTTTTGGTCCTGAAAGGGTTAGAACGTCAGTTCTTTGAAAGGGTCACTCAAAGGGACAACAAAGGGAGGACAACAGAGTTGTGGTGATGCTATTACAAATACTCTTTCTTCCCCTTTTTAGTTCACTGTTGACAAGATTTCTTTAAAAAATTGTGATACACAATTGGAGGATCTCATAGGCAAAAGAATATGGGCAATGCAGCGATACCATTAGATCTGACTACTGTTGCTAGTGCTGAACTACCGGAAAACTTTATAGAGCCATAAAAAATGAACTCTACAATCTCTGTCTCATGCAGTGATAATGTTAAAGATGAAATAAGCTTTAATTAAAAGAAGGAAAAGAATGCAAATAGTATGAGCAAATTGAAATAAACTAACTGCATCATATTAATGAGTTGGTGACTGATTGAAAGGAATGATCTTACCTTTAGAAAAGTTTCTGAAGGCTTGAGTAAAACCTGCCCAGAAAAGTGAACAGCTATTACAATCTACCCTTGATAACTATGGGAGGTTTGGTGTTTTGTGTGTGTGTGCACATAGGGGACACTCAGTATTTTGTTTATTTATTACGGACTCCAGATTTAACCATGAGCATTAATGTATTAATTATTTTTTAATGTATTTTTTCCTTTTCAGTGCCCACTGGTTTTTGGCTGTCATCTGTTTTCCTGGTTTAGAAAAACCCAAATATGAACCAAATCCCCACTATCATGAAAATGCTGCAACACAGCTAAAATCTCCGTCTTCAGATGGAGAGAGCAACACACCATCTCCTTTGCCAAATGAATTAGATGCACAAAACTCACCTTCCAAGTCCACGGCAAAGAAGATGTTGACCAAAAAGTTTAATACAGCTTTAATTGACCCAAACACTGAAACAGAGGACAGTGAGTCTTCGTGTTGTAGAAGAAGTCCTTGTAGGGGAAAAAGTGCTTTCAAAAAAATAAATCAAATAGACAGTGATGTGGAAGAACCTAACACTGTGGAATCAGCATGCCATAAACTAGACCATAGGACTCTGGACGCGAATGGTATACAGGGTGAATTCACAACTGCTAGCCAATCTATGGGTATGTAATTGTAAAAATATGCACATTTTAATTAAAAAAATTGAGATTTCACATCTGCTACCACTTCTACGTTTGTGTAAACTTCGTACTTTGAAAGTTCAGTATGTGCTGAGGTTCGAGTGCTTGCAATATAAGTAATTTATAGCCATTGCGTATTAAGCGGTTTTGTGGTTGTTGACATAACTTCCATGGCAAAAGGCTGGAGATGAAAAACTGTTTTCCTAAATCAGATTAAGTTTTCAGTTGTGTGACCTTTTTTCACACAAATAATTTTGTAGACCACTTTGCATCACTTAAGGCTGTAATTGTTAAGGAAAGAAAAGTAGTTGACTGTGGATCCCCATAATGTATGTGCATGGAGTAGTTGAATTAAGATTGCTTCAGCAACCTTGCTTACAGTGTGTTCCAGCATTTGAGGTTTTGCTTCAACACCATTAGGTTCTTTAATGTCCTTAGAGAAGGTATGTACAAAGAGTAAAAAGAAAAATAAAAAAAATCACTTACATGACCTCCATGTTACATTTAGAGAGGCTTTCTTCATGCATTACTGCTTTGGAGGCTGATTTCAGCGCTCTTGAGCAGCATTTGTATCAAAGTGAACTAACGTACTTTTAAAGGCAGATGAAGGAAATAGGAAAAGATTGTTTTCTCTGTTCGCTGCAAGGTTTGGATCCTATTCAGATAGAGATTGTATTGGTGGCTGATGGTCATTCAGTTACCAACTAAACCACTCGGACTGCTTTGCTCAACTATTGCAGATGGTGTACCCTTTTATTAATGTAGACATTTGTATAGGTCACTGTTATGATTTAAGGGTGAGATTCAGTTTGAGACTGACACTAGTAAATGTTTAGGCATCTAAGTTTAGATGGGCGTCTTAAACTTTCATTTCAGTCAAATGGAAGATGGGGATATAAGCCTTGGGTTTTCTGCCCAGCCTTCAGCTGTTGCTCCAGAAGGGTGTGGGTTTTGATTCTTGACCCTGCCAAACCTATAGGTATGTCCTTGATACCCTAGGGTATCTCAAAGGTAGCAGATGCCTCTTTGATAGTATAGTCAGTGGCCAAGAGGCCACCTTTTCCTGTGCTAAAGCAGACAGAGTGGCTGTCCAGTTGAGTAGTGCTAAGTCACATTAGTGTATGGCCTATTTCTTCTGCTAAGGTCTTTTCAAAGATACGGAGTAAGGCTAATTCCCAAGTTTGTCCCTGTGGAATTCCACTGGCAACCTCTTTCCAAAGTGTTTAAGTTCTCTGTTGAAGCGTTTTCAAAAGCAGGTCTTTGCCATTTTTTCCATTAGCTAATTCATTGCCCTATTTACTGTTCTTACAGAAATCCTGGTTTTCCTTAATAAGAAATATATCCTCCAGTGACACTAACCAACACTTTTTATTTTAGTGATTGTTTAGCTATATTATAGAGCCCTTTAAGAAAAGTTTTCTTACTAAGATTTTGGGGTTTGCTGGCATGAGTTATTTTTCACTTATTTCCACATATTTTTCAATTTTTCGCCTCAAAAATCTGTTCTGAAATTTTGCATGGTAGTATACTAAGACTAGTGAGCCTGTAGCCTTATGTATCTGCTTCTTTCACAGGTATAGCTGTAACATTCAATAATCTTTGTATCTTCTGCTGCGGTTTCCCAGGTGACTAAATATGTAGAGAGAATAGGGAGTGAATTTACAGATACTTTTTTTATGTAGCAAACAGTGAAGTTTCACAAGCATTTCTAAGCTGCTGCTCTCAGGAGAGCTGATCCTGCATTCTACCCTCCCTGGCAGTGCATTCTCAAGCTGCCTTTTCCTCTTACCAGCACAAGTCTTCATATCACTGCACAGTGAATCTGATCAAGGAAATGATTCAAGTAAAAAATAAGCTTGTGACTGTCTTTCTCAGTGTGGTCTATTGTGTGTGGATATGTTTGATGTCGTGGAAGAACCATGGGAAAGAAGGAATGGGAATAAGTGCTTATATGAGGATCCAAATGAGACTGCCGCTTTTGATGTCAGTAGCTTTTTATACTGTTTTACAGGCTTCATGGAACTATAGGGTAATTTCATGATAGTTCTTAGTCTGTCTTTAGAATATTTTTACTCATTTCACAGAATAAGGAACAGTTTCTGCTGTGTTACTTTGAAGAAACTTTTCACTTCTGTTCATATGCATGAATAAAATATTATATGTCAGCATTATCACAGTTATTGTGAGCAATCCTGGAGAAATCTTAGGTATTGAACATGAGTTTGGTCTTCAATGATGACATAATATTTGATTAAATATACTGCTGTCTGTGATTGATACAGATGGATTGCACAAAATCAGGCTAAACTATAGTGAAGATTCAGCTGATGGCAGTAAACTAAATGAAGATGAGCTTATAGATTTTTCTGAAGACCAAGATAATCAGGTAAAGAATTCAGCAATTTTATTTTGGAAATGTAAATTGTTGGTTTGTAGTTTGAATGGGCAGCTTAAAGCTGTGTCCACATTGTAAATGTGTCTAAAACTAGTTATCTTTACAAGTGTCAAATCCAAAGCACTGGCTGCATAGACAGTTTGCAAATTAGCTGGCAGGAAAGGATTGTACATTCATTCATTAAACTTGTATAGTAGGAAACTGCTGTACTAATCCCACATTTAATATTTTGTGAGTCTTTTACATAGTGACAACATTAGACAATGATTTTAGTGGAAACTCTGAAAGTCAACACATTCCTACCTTTCGTCTCTTCCACTCCCATGTTTACCTACCAGACCCAAGAACAAGTTACTCTTCTTTCAGCTGCTATTTCCTGGACATAAACAGACACCTTTATAAGTAGGTGCTACTTTGCTGTTTTGTTTCATTGATGCTTCTAATCAAATTTAAACAGCATGGATTTGTAATCAAGTAGTGTTCTTATTCAGATTGGAAGAAGTTTTAGACCTGTGGAACAACTGATCATTAAAATGCCCTTTACTGGTTCACTACGGGGTTTGAGGGTATTATACCACAGCCCTGTTGCTTCTACAGTGTAAGTTCAACGTGAGCAAGCTAGGAGTTACACATTTATTCCTCCTAATTGGCCTTCCTGTTCATGTTCCAGGTGTATGACTCCAAGTTGTCCAAAATAAAGAATCGGAGACTATCAGATACACTGTCTAGGAATTACCTATTTTTCACCTTTGAGTCCAGAACAAAAAAATATTTTCCAAAGTCTGCAGCTATTTGTAATGGCTTCCAAATAGTATGTATATGTCTGCACACGCATAAAAGCTCCAGTTCATGTTGAAATCTAAAGATGTTTTTCATACAGACTCCACCCACCTCTTCTGTCATGCCACTTGCCTGAACATTCTGTGGTTCTCACCTGATGGAACTGCCTTTCTGTCTATTCTGTAGCAATTAGAGTTCCCTGAATGGGCAGCAGTTTCTAATAGGAGAACATCTTCATGGCATAGCATGAGGATTTCAGTTGTAGGATCCTTCATGTTAGTATGTGTACACAATTCTCACCAAAAATGTCACAAATTATGCTGATGCAGCTGTTCCCATTTTTGGGAAGCATCTTATTCCCTGTAACACAATGGTCTGCAGGAGTAATAGTGAAAATAGAAGGGAAAGAAACTGGATCATTGGGATGCTTTTAGATACAATGACTTACTGGCTTTGTTTATATAACTTCTATATCCTTCATAGCAATCAATATTGAAATTGAAAGGTCAAGGATATTCCCAGGTTTGTGGCATGACTGTTTTTGCAACCCATGATATGTAATTTCACAGTGGTTTAATTTCCCTCACCCTGAAAACCAAGTTGGTTCATTCTGGAGTACAGATCAGATTTTAATTCTGAGTTCGTTGCAGATTTTGTCTCCTTTGTTCTAGAATGTAATATACATAAAACTGCCAAGCAGGTTCCTAGTAGTCATTGGCAGGGGAAAGTATAATTTGGATTATAACCGAATAATGGAGATGCATCTCTTCTAAGCCAGCAATGATTTGAAAATGTCAGTTGCAGGGTTTTTTTCTAGTTTCAGTGGTTGTTAAATAAATAGCACCATTCACTCTGTGTTATTCCAGCAAGGATTTGAGAAACCATGTGCCTAAAAGTTAGTAATGCAACCTTTACAAACTATGAATGGTTTCAGATTAAAGCTACCACTTTATTAAATTTGTGTTATTGGTCTTGAATAAGAATGGTAAGTATAGCAATAATTTCTTTTGCATCTGTTTGAAAAACAGTACTAGCTTTTAAACACCTGTAAAACATGTTCCTTCTGTAGGAAGACAGTAGTGACGATGGTGGCCTTCTGGATGATAATTGCAATTCAGAAATGGGACAATGGCACCTGAAGCCTACCATCTGCAAACAGTAAGTATTAAAACCATTAAAATGGAGATTTCATATAAAAGTTTATGAAATTGTCAAAGATGGTAATTATGGGAAATGGTCACACATCAGTGTTCAAACACTTTAATCAGCATGTTATTAGTGTTTGAGAGAGAATTTTATACTTAGTAGTATCATCTTCAGTGAGCAGAAAATTTAGTGAATGAAACTGCTACTGGTATGGAGGCATTCAGGGTTTCTGTTAAGCTTCTACTGCTTCAAGGCAGGTGAAAATTGTTTCTTCAAATAAGGCTGTTCTTCGATAGCTTGCATGTAGATTCCTACAAAAAGAAGGTGCAGAAGCATATTCAAATGTAGCTTTCTGTATCAAAAAGCAGATTAATGTCTTAACTAAATTAATGCTGAAGAAAACCTTAGTCAGTACTCAAAATGAGTACAGGAAAACAGAAATAATTTTTAACCACCCCCATTTCCTATCAAAATGTGTTCTAGCTGTTTATTGTTTCTGTCTGTAGAATTAATTTTTTTTTCTAATAAGATTGTTCCACAGTACTAAATTCAGTTACTTTTTTACCTTTTTAACTGTTTTGGACTTGAAACCCTTTTTTTTACTTTTTATGTTTGAAACCCAGAAACTTCATAATTATTGGCTGCAGTTGCTTGCATTTTGGTGTGACAGAAATACATGATTCCATATCCTGAAATACTGTTACTCGTATTGCTGTCTGACTGTCTCCTTTGTATTTTTTCACAATTTATTTATCCATTTTCTTCTTTGTGTGTGTAAGGGTAACTAGAAAGAGAAAGGCTTTCACAATGCATGCTTACAGTGCACCATAAGAATAAAATTACATATTTATACATGGTATGGAATGTGTATGACTTACTGTTAATGCATTTTTATGAAGGGATAAAAATACATCTGTGTTGTGAGTTTTAAGAATATTTATGAGCTGCTGATTATAGCTTGGCTAAATTTGTCTCATTCTGTTGATAGATTATCCGTACATAATACTTCCCCCAGACAGTATTTTAATCCAAACATGGAATTTCATAAGATATTTGGCACTTAAGTATCAAAAGTGTCTGTGTATTAGAAAGGAGAAAGCAGAGCTTTGTGAAAATTGATTTACATCCTATTTATCCCTCAAAATACATCTTGCACCTAATGCTGAGATTCTGAACTCTGGTATGAGTTAGCTTTGATGTATAAATCCAGCTGTGCCATATAAGGCAGCTGATATGACTGTTCTGTTTATAGCTGCTGCAGAGGTGGTGTCCTCTAGGTCAAGGGACAGGATGTAAGCGTCTGTAGTGGACAGAAGTCTTCAGGCAAACTTGGTAGTCTAGAAAATGTTTGTTTATGGATATGTTATTTTTGAAAGTTTTTCAAAATGTGTGTTTTGTGCGTAACTACAAGGTAGATTTCAGATTCATTGGCTGGAATAATTTCTTAAATGTGCAACACCTAGTGCCCATCTGCCCTCCAGCTGCTACTCCAGAAGGATGTTTTTGGGTTCTAGCACTTACTTTCTAGTCTCTTGCCAGTGTCCCAGGTACCTTGTGCATCTAGAAGAGTACTAGACATCTCAGAGGGTTTTAAGCAACTAGTTTTTGCCTGTAACGTATGCTTTCAGTCTGACAGTATGCTCAGTGTATGGTTGAATCTAGACAGTCTTACATTTAGCTATCCCAGTTAGGGGATTATAGCAGTGCTGGTGAAACTTTATAGTATTGACCTACTTTTGTTCAAGGTCACCCCACTGTTTCATAGCTAGTTGTGTAACATTGTGCTTTCCAAACTGCTGTAAAATACCGTGTACTTAAAAGTTGTGTTCTCTCTTAGGCCCTGCATTTTGCTTATGGACTCCCTGAGAGGGCCTTCCCGGTCAAATGTTGTGAAAATACTACGGGAGTAAGTTTCATGTCTGGGTTTGGGGGTTGGTTTTCTGCAAAATTCTTCAAGAAGAGAGTTTTGATTGGCATGGTCTTTTATCATAGATATTTAGAGGTGGAATGGGAAGTCAGAAAAGGCAACAAAAGAAGTTTTTCCAAAGATGTCATGAAAGGTTCCAACCCAAAAGTGCCACAACAAAACAATTTCAGTGACTGTGGGGTGTACATACTGCAGTATGTGGAGAGCTTTTTTGAGGTATGTGATGTATCCCTGTTTGTATAACTATTGGGGGTGGGTTTTCTGGATTGTTTTGTTTTGTTTTGTTGTTTTTTGTGGTGAACTACTGAATTATAACAGCTATAAAAGGCTCCTAGTGTAGCTGTTATAGCTATTTATTAGATTATGCATTATACACTAGTGTATACATGAACATACATAATATTTTTGGGGAAATAAACTGATTATCCTTTTTAGTTTTATATATGTATCAGCAATTGGAAGCCAATTTGAAATAGGCTTTTTTTCTAAGAGAATAAGAAAATACATATAGAGTCTTTTGTTTGTGTTCTTACTGTCCATAGTCTTTAAAATAACCCAGTAAGAACCTGAGTTCAAATTTGAGTTCTAAATCTAACCTAAAGATGCAGGACAAAAAGCTGGTTCTTTTCTCCCTAAGAACCGTAATTCTGAGTCAGTTCATTAATATGATACAAGTAGTTTTTCTTTAACTTGCAAGAAAACATGCAAATGGAATCATTACAGCTAAATGTCAGATCTTTAATCCACTGGAGAATTTGGTTAAACACTTAATGACTTTAACTGTCTCGATCTTTCACAAGTGATAGAGGTGTTGACACCGTCAGGTCTAGGGGAAGGAGAAGTGACAGTCAAGTGAGATGTTGCCTGTATTGGACACAAACTGTTTAAGTCCATGGTTCTTGAGACCACTAAACTGTCCTGTTACTGAACCTTTCCTGGGGAAGTGTCTGTTTCTTCTCTGTTCCTCCACCCTCCCCATGCTCATACTTCATATGAGGGCAGAAAGGCTTCAGCAGAGTGCGTTCGTGCAGGTCAAAACCAAAAGCTTTTGCTTTACCAGTGAGTCCTTGAGAGATTAGAACCATCCTCCTTCCTCTTTTGTACTTGGGAGATATGAAGAGCAACCAGGTTTTAATAATCTTAACCCCTTCCATCCCCTTCCTTCTTGCAAATGTATTGCTGAATTATGTCAGGCCAAATCTCTCGTCCTGTCCGATCTTGCAGTATGCAGCAGCATCGCCTGTCAGCGCATAGGGATGGCATTTAGATGCGTCAGGTAGCAGATCATGGGGTATTCACAGCACTAACACTGGTGGGGAGGGAAAAGCCATACTGGCTACATGGTACTTCACTGCCATGCTGTTACTGAACTAGTAAGTTCAGCTGCTAATGTATTTCAAAACTTGCGCAAAGTCTCATTGTTTCCAGCAGCTGTGCAAACTGAATGGGAGCGTGTGGGGAGGGGTGCTTAATTTGATGTTTGTGGACTATTTAGGCACATCTTATTCTTGTTTGTCGATTTATTTTAAATACCTTGGTTTTAGTAATAATGGTTAAAATCATGATGTGTATTTTTTAAAACCATGAATCCATGACAGGGTAGGCAGTGTAACAAGGAGTATACCTGTCAGCTATCATAGCAAGTAGTTGCCAGCACTCCTTCAACACCATGCCTGTTCAGCTTTGCCTTTGGGCCCAGGTGGGACACCTCTGCCCTGCCAAAGGAGCCCCCCCAGTTTCCTGGCAGCAATTTGTGGGGGAGCCGGGTCAGGAGGGCTGCTGGGGGCGGCTTCCGCCGCCAGGGGCCGCAGTGCTGCCGCCTCAAGTACGCGGAGGGGCAGGGCCGGCGGCAGAGCGGCGAGCCCCGGCGGCAGCAGCCGGGGTTTGCGGGGACGGGCATTGTCAGTTCCGGGGGACAGACCTGGCAGCCCAGCACAAAGTGCACAGCTGGCTTCTGCCCCGTGTCCCTGCTCTTCTTCCCCACAATGAACAGCAACAAAAAGCCCCAGTCAAGGGCGTGTTCAGATTAATGTAAACTGTTGTGTTACCGCACTAATGTGTTCTTTCTCCTTCGTCTGACCTATTTCATGGTTTTTACCCATGGTTTTCTGCATCCTTTTTCTGCATCTTTAGTGGCATGCTTCCGAAGTCTACTTACTGCTGGTGTTAAGTAGCTTCATTGGCAAAGTCAGTTCAACGTAGGGGTTACTTTGTTGCTATTTTATCTAGCTAATGTTCTGTTTGGAGGTAAAATGATGCTGCTAGTACAGTATATGGCATTTATTGATTTGTTCCCATGCAGAATGTCACTAGTTTTTTTCCCCAAGTAGTCTTGTTAGTGTTAACTCAGTGGATGAATGTAATTCACTCGATATAAACTGGAATACACAAAGAGAGGGATTTCTTTGAGAGAAAACACTATTCCACAAACTGTTGTATGTTTAGGGTGAAATTGTTGTACGGTGTCACAGAAGTGGCATAGATAATAACTCATAATAATAATTCTCTTAATTCTTTGAATTAATAATCTCTGTCAAGAAAACCAAATGCAAGTACAGAAAGGGCTGGTGGTAGCCAGAGGCTTTTCACAGACCTTGCTTTTTAGGGTGAAATGTTAAACTGACTTTACCAGTTGGTTATGGTCTTAAAGGTTATTTATAAGAATAGGAAAATTTAATCATTGATTCCTAATCAACTCTAGATAGCTTGATTGGTTTTACCTTAATTGTACATGTACAGAGTACACAAATCATAGAAATTTTGTTCCATGCTGATAGAATGAGGTGAGGAAGAATGTGCTACAGTTTTCTCCAGTCTTCTAGATTGTAACTTCTTACTGTAATATCCAAATGACCTTTCTTTTCAGAATCCTATTCTGAGTTTTGAGCTACCAATGAACTTAACAGACTGGTTTCCACGCCCAAGAATGAAAACCAAAAGAGAAGAAATACGAAAAATAATTCTGAAGCTGCAGGAACAGCAGAACAAGGAAAAGAAGGGACAAAAGGACGCAAGTTCAATGGAAAGATCTTTGCAGGAAAAAACAGAACAACTTACCAACAGCAGCTCAGACTGAGTGTTGTATCTGTTGCATGTTTGCTCCACAATCAAAACTGAAACATACATTTTTGTCTGCCCAGACTAAAGATTTGGCGTATTCTCTGCTCAGAGTCTCTTGGGAATGTTTAATGCTTGTATAAATGTGTGTCATAAAATGATTTAATTTCCACAAAGATGTGTATTAAGTAAGCGAGTCTGTACATATGTTAATGAGGCCAACTTTTTCAGCATTTGTAATTACTTTTTTTCCACTTGTTAGGGAGCTTTTGTTATGTATTTCTGTTAATAGAACTTAAATAGCAACTTCTAAACATAAAGCAAATAAAGAAAATATTTATAGGATAAAATGGGTAATTTTTTATTTTTCAGTAAAGTTGTAATGTCACAGGCTTAAGTAACACATAGGAAATTATTTGGTAGTGAGATAATTCATATTTTGACCCTATTTAGTTGCCCTTTACAAGATTATTCTGCTTGCGCTACAAACAATAATGTGGGTGTCTCAATGTACCATGGCCTCAGAGAGGGTGATCCCCATCCTCCCAGTATCTTAAGTGTAGGCAGTATAATAGTTAATAGGACTGCTTCAGATTTGGGGTTTAAAAGATACGCCTTGCAATGAAAATAATTCCACCCTCGCTTCAGTGGGATGGGCTAGGGAAAGGGGGAGAATGCTCTTTGACCAGAGATAACTATTCAAACAGTATTATAACAGTGATTTCAATGAAGTGATCTTGAGTGATACTATTAAACCATATTTTGTGGATCCCAATTGTTGTACAGGTGTATTTTGAGACTTTCTTCATTATAAAGTTGTATTTTGGTAAGTGTACTTGGAATAGCAAGTTGCCCACATTACATTTTCTATGTTATGATTCTGAATGTTACATTCATATGTGCTTTATCTAAGTAATGAACATTTAAAAAGAAAAAAGTGTACGATTACTATTTTTTGTAATATCCACGCAAAAAAAAAAAAACACAACAGAATACCAGTGTTCATTGCTTGATTGTTTGTTCTTGGCTTTAGGTAGCATCAGACTAATGTTGGGATTTGTTTGGATATTTCCAGCATATTTTGATTTTTACAACAATCTGAAATGCCATCGTTGCTTAAACTGCAAACAGCCTTTTTGCCTTGTTAAAGAAAGGCTTTGGTATTCAAATGAGGAAAGGAAAAGATGGTTTGTGCAAGGAGGTATACATACACAGTCTTCTAATACAGATATCTTTGAAAGGAACCAGAAACTGTCTCTCCCCAGGAAGAAATGTCTTGGGGGGAGAAAGACAGACCTTCTGCCCCTCCTTGCAGACAGTATTTTCTCTCCTGATTTTCCTACTGGCAACATCATTTGTCATTCCCTTCTCCCACAGAGAAGCAGCAGAGAATTCATTAGCTGAACTCTTCGTGTCCCCAAAGACCAATTTTTATACACAAGATCAAGTCTAACCCCGTATACAGGTTCTCCGTGAGTTTTCATTCTCACTAAACCCTGAAAACATGGCTGCTAAGGATGTTACTACCAGGGCATTCCTGCATAGACAGCTGTCTGTGTGAAACCCTCTGTTTACAAGGGGGCTCACTCCCCAAGGCAGAGTGATTGCACATAGATTGCATGGGCTGCTCAGCTTTTGTACAGATAACCTGTGGGATTTAGGGGAGTTGTTGGTTCCTGCATCTCTTTCCTCTTGCATAGACCCTGGGCCCCGTGGATAATATGTAAGCACCACATACATTACGTTAGAGATAGCACCTACACGGGTTTCTAATTGCAAGTATGTGGGGGCAGTCTTCCGGATTACAAATTAAATATGTGACGTGCACACCTCCGAGTTGTTTCCTCCATCAAATTTATCCAGTATGGTTGCTGTTGTTGGGGAAAATCTGTGATAAAATAGTTTCAGGTGGTTTCCCTACAGGCTCTGGTATACCTGACTTTAGTGCAACTGACTTGCTGGAATAGTAGTTTATGCAAATGCAAGTAAATCAGCTATGGCTTGTAGAGAGGGAAGGAAAAGAATTTCTTGGAAATGCCAAGCAGAGACAATTGCAAATAGAATGTATTCCTTCCAAGTCTAGTCTTTCCCAATGGTGTGTTCTAATTATATGGGATATATGCAGATTTGATCAATATCATAGCTTGTTTTACTTTTTCTAACATTTGTAATGCCAGTTCATAATTTGATGCTGTAGAAGGTTCTCTTGCTAGGAATGCCTGGTGCTTCCTGCATTTCCTTCCTCTTTCCTGTCCTCCTTCTTCCTCCCTCCACTTTTTCAAAGCTGTGAAGAAAGTGTTTGATTTATTATCATTTAATGTTAAAGGTCTCGAAATCTTCAGTCACATACAGCAAGCTAATATGTTAAATATAGGAAATTTATTTTTTTAATAAAATGTGACATTAATAGAAAAAAATGCACAGAATTAAGAATGAGTTATTTAAAACCTTACTGAAAAGTTTAAAAAGCTCACTGCTGCGTGCTTGTAAGGTATTTGTCCTTAATGTAGTGGTCAGCTACACTACAGTGCTTTGCAGTCTTAACCAAGGAGTTTCACCAGTGAGCTTTCTGAATCACATTTATTCAGTGGAAGTTAGTGGGGGGGGGGGGACTAGAGGTGTTTGTTTAATAATTATATGGCAACACACGCACTGAGGCAAGTGCAAGTTGTATGTTCCTTTATAAGCTTTTTAAGATTACAGATGCTTTAAGAGTAGCGTGACTGCATTCTGCAGTGTAAGCTATCAGATGGCTGCCTAATTAAATGTATCTCTTTGGATTGTTTTTCACGTCGGGTAGAATAACAGTTAAGAATTCTTATTAAAGTTTTAGGTCACGTAGCATAAAAAATGCATGTACTTCTGGTGGATAGCTGCAAAAGCAGAAGAGACATCTAAGTAGTCCCTTGTGACGTTCTTGTTTTTCTTGCGTAAGGAACTGAACACACTCTGTAAAGACCAGGGAGTTCAAACATAAGAACTGTGATGTTGATTTTTTGAGGTCGAATCTTAACTTCCAAAACAGTCAGTAGAGTTGAAAAGTCAAGCAAACTACCCCATGATGAGAAAACCATGCTGTTGTTGGGGGTTTTCCCTCTTTTTTTTGTTGGTCATGTATAGCCTAGCAAATGAGTAAAACAGAACAAGAAGCTATTGCATGATGATTTTTAATTTCTCTTAATGTAGTTCCTCTGGAAATTGGAGTGAACTACTAGACTTCCCTGATGAACAAACTGCAGCAGTTTCTTTACGAATTTACTGTAATTTTTTACTCAGATTTTTCAATAGAATGTATTTTCATTGCTCAGTGGTTAAAGCTTTATACTGCCCTTCACTGATAATATGATACTTGTGGTCTAGCATATATGAACAGAAGTAGCTGCTGTAAAGGGGCTTGTTCTTTGGAGTCCACATTCTTGGGGTCACAAGGATGAGAGGTGCTGGAGTCTGGATGAAAGATTTTATTTCATTTTGGTATGGCACTTTTTATAACAGCCTGTCTTAAGTTCTGCATACTCAGTACCCCTGAAGAGCCTCTGTGCAGTGACTTGTGTTCACAAAGGTGCTTCTCTGCCCCAAGTGTTCTGACTTCCCATCTGCCTCTGGAAATCAAAGGGGAACTGATGTTACAAAGTACAACTTTGAAACATAAGGGGTGAGGTAGCAGCTATTTCCCTTATCTTTCACCGCCATATTTTTATATCAACTTGTTTCTGCTGAAGTCAATCACACCTGCCCAAAGATGTGATGGAAGATGTCTGTTTCTTAGGCTCCAGTCTGGTCAAGTGAGGATGTAATCTGGGAAGTGACTGTTCCCTCTGTTGTGGCCTCTTGCAGTTTTCTGACAGGCTAGATTTTGCTTACTTTTATCAAATTTGCATGTGGACTTGCACAAGGCTGCCGTTACAAAAGGAAAGTTGGTAATGTACACCACAGCTAGGGGATTCTTTATTCAGCTGTGCAAGTTAACTGCAAGCCGCAACCTAGATTCAAACAGCCAGGCTGCTACTTTGCTGGGTCTCTGGGTCCCATTTTCCTTTTAGTTTTTACCTTGGCTTTTTCCTGTGTGGCTTATAGTTGATGTTCCTGGAGGAGAGTAAACAGCACTATTTGTGATGGAAAACATTTAAAAAGATACATGAGGTACATTCATTTATGAATATATACGAACAGAAGGTTATAAGGTATCCATATTGTAGTGAACAAGAACCTTGCCTGCCCTTTTTTTTGTCTTTTTCATGCCTCCTGATTTTGTTGGGTTTTGTGATCAGATTCTCTTGAGAGCTCTTTGGGTATGACTTTACCCAAAGTAATCATCCGTGTGCAATGGTAACTAACTTAGGGGAGGGAAGAACACTTTTAAACAAAAGAGTCTTGTGTATAAGAAAAACAGCAGCAGGGAAAAGGAAAAAAAAAACCACCACCAAAAACAAAACAACAAAACCCCAAAACAAACAAAAAACCCAAAACATAACCCACAAACAAAAAGCTGGATGTGCTTTAAAAATTAATGGTTTACTTTAACAGAAGAGTCAAAGCCAGGGAGTATATGTGTCCATTTGCCCACTATCATAGATGTAGATAGATAGTATTTTTAAAAGTCCATATTCAGGATGAGATTCTCTTTTATGGTATATAAGCTGTCTCAATACCTGTAAGGTTAATGGGAGCCAGACTGGTTTGTTTCAGCTGAGTACTTTTCCCCCTGTAGGCAGTAAGGAGTCCACTTAAGGGGGAGCACCCTGCTCCAGCCAGTGGGAGCTTCCTGGGTTCAGAGTCTGCTTCGGCTCTGGTCTTTAACCCAGAAATTCAAGCATGTTAGATTTCCCCTGTGGTTTAACTTGGTGAAATTTATCAGCTGTTTACACAAAACTGTATCTGTTTAACCATATTTGAAAGTTCAGGAACTTGGTTTACTTTTGCACGTATACTGATGACAGCTAAATATATACGTACTAAATATACTGATGCCAACTCACAGCAGTGGTGTGCAAACTGTTACTACAAGCCTCCTTGCCTGTTGTCTACTAAATACAACAGTTTTTAAATCAAACTCTGTGACACTGCCTGTTTACATCAGGTTTGTTCTTCCTAACTCAAATTTTTGAAAATTACCATTGTGTTTCCCTTACCTTTCATGTACTTAAGGAGGAATGCAGTGGTAGCATGGATCGGGACACTAGCAACTGTTGGACCAAACCTACAACAGTGATCACAGAATCACAGAATGGTTTGGGTTGGAAGGGACCTTAAAGCTCATCCAGTTCCAACCCTCCTGTCATGGCCAGGGACACCTTCCACTAGACCAGGTTGCTCAAAGCCCTGTCCAGCCTGGCCTTGAACACTGCCAGGGATGGAGCCAGCAGCAGCTTCTCTGGGCAACCTGTTCCAGTGCCTCACCACCCTCACAGTAAAGAGCTTCTTCCTAATATCTAACCTAAATCTCCTCTCTGTCAGTTTAAAGCCATTCCCCCTTGCCCTGTCCCTGCACTCCCTTGTAAAGAGCCCCTCTCCAGATTTCTTTTAGGCCCCTTTAGGCAGTGGAAGCTGCTCTAAGGTGTCACCGGAGCCCTCTGTTCTCCAGGCTGAACAATTCCAACTCTCTTAGCCTTTTTTCATAGGAGAGATGCTCCAGCCCCATAGGAACTCTCAGGAAATACTTGGGAATTTGAAGCTCTAGGATGAGTGCATTATTTATGCATCAGGCTGAAAACAAACTATTTTAGCTCTAGCAAACTGCATATTCTGTAGCTTCAAGCCTGGAAATTTATTTCATACTATACGTCAGTAATATGCAAGACAGTGTGTTGGTTTGGTAATAAAAGATCAGACAGGCTCGTCCCAAAGGAGCAATATTAAAAGCATGACAATTTTCTCACAGAAAATTACACTAAACAGGACATAAGTTGCACTGGAATGCAAACAAATGGAATATGTTTCTTACTTAAACGTTCCTTGGTTCTGAAACCTAAACTGTTTTGTAAACAACATTGTCATAGTATGTGTCCGTGTTACAAAAGGGCAGAAAAAGGCCGTGAGAAGTTGCACAGCCTCCTCCCATCCTACAAGACCACTGAAGTTTTCAGACTTCAGACAAACTCTGCAGTGACTCCTTACACTGCAAATGGATATTTAGGTTCCAGAAGCAATGCTTGCCTGGATGAATGTGCTGAATGTGTTTGTATGGACAGCTTATGGTACAATATTTAATTAGGAAGTGATACAGCTTCTTTTTTTTTGCCCAGGGAAACCAGGCCTTTGTTGTGCCAAGATAGTGCTCCCTGACTGAATTTCTTAGTCCTTTTTTGCTCACACCTTACTGCCCAGTCATTTTTGTGAGCTTTTCATTCTAGTCTCAATTCTTCTCAGGCTTTCACATATAATTAATGAACTCAGATGCAGCAGTCACCCTGATCTCTGGGTCTAATTTGCATCCCTGTTTCTCAGTTACCTGTGTGAAGCAAGTAAGTCCTCTGAGTCAAAGGACATCCCCTTTTTCACAGGGACATTGTCTATTTCAAATGCTTTTATTGCGCCCAGTGAGCCTGTGCAATCTCCTTCCTTGGAAATAACTCAAAAGCCATCCGGATATGGTGCTGGGTAACTGGCTCTGGGTGGCTCTGCTGGAGCAGGGGGTGGACCAGATGACCTCCAGAGGTTCCTGCCCACCCCAACCACTCTGTGTTTGTGTAAGCTTGCTCTTGATTCCTGTGCTTGGTGAGACAAACCTGGGAGGTGTAGGCAGCTGCAAAGCAAATCCTGGGCAGCACTGCAGTGGGAGTGCTGCAGTTACAGGTGTGCTGACTGAGAGTGAAGCCACAGGGGTTGAGGCCAGCCCATTAGTAACACTCATCAGAAGCTTGCAACTTGGCTAAATTTGGTGGCATTGAAAGACTGATGGCAAGGGCACATCTCTGGCATACAAGGCAAATTGCTTGTTGAGTTGAAATCTATGCTACAAGTCTGTGGGAAACTTTCTTGCAGCACTTGATCAGTGTTAACTATTCTTTAAGGTCATGAGCAGAAACATTTTAGCCAGCAGTCAATTTACAGCACACGCCTTATTTGGACCATTTTAACTGAGCAGCTAAAGGTTAGTGAAGGCGTTACAAGCTACTGAAAGAAAAACACAGCAATTTTTGATACCTGCTGTTTTTCTAGAATAATTTGGGTATTTTGTTCATCAGAGAAGTTTTCAGGTAATAACTTTATAAACATTAATTATACAGGCAACCTTGGAGTCTTGTAAAAATCATTTATAAAAGGTTAGAAAGTGTCAGAACTACTGGTATCAGGAACTGGTGACTTTACCTTTAGAACAGAAATATGACTTGGCTGCAGCTATTCTGGGGAAACATCCAAGCTAAATGTGCTTTAAAGTAGGACCTATCAAGCATATTAACTTCTGTGATGTATTAATGATTTCTGCTTTTTGTTCATATGACATGCTCCAGTTTGTGTCCTGTGTATACCAAACTATTCACAGTCCTCCCATTTTTCAGCCAATGTGACACTAAATTACTATTTATATAGTCAGAAATCCCCTGAGTTCAGGGGAGGAAATGTATTTTGATTCCAAACTTAATTTTACCCACAAAGTTTATCCTCATTTGTCTGAGAACTTGATATTGCTAAGAAGAGCATTCTGAATCCATGAGGTTTGATTATTTATGCCAAGAAAACACCCCCATTTACTAGTATTTTCATTGAATATCAACATCTGAGATGTCATTCTGCATCTGTTTCAGATATGTGGTTTCACAAGGAATTAACTAAACTAACAGGCTATCTTTAGTCTTTCCCACCTGGTTCGCATTACTAGAACTGTGAACAGATAAGTGATTTGCATTATTAGCAGATTTAGTAACTGAGTCAGAATGGGCAATTTGGCACTCCCAGAGCCAAATACGCACACCAGGAGAGCATACCATGCTGCACTGGGTATTTGCCTTCTCACTGAGGATTGCCTTATCTTGTACTTAAAGTCCTGCCACAAGGGCTGAAGAGCTGGCGGTGGAATTTAAGGGTAGGTGTAAATCCCAAGTCAGGGGCTACTCACCAGCAGGAAAGCACTCAGTGTGAGGTTTGATGTCATCTAAGTTTGTCATGTATGGGGAGGGTATGAGGAGGCAAGTTTAGTTTGTCTGTGCTTTTGACAGTGTTCAAGTGCACGTGTAACTGCACTACAAAGGAAATTGAACACGGTGCCACTTTGGCAGCCTATGTTTCTGGCAAAGTATTACCCTTCCTTCATACAGCAATGGTCCCCAGGCAAGTTCATTGAGTGGTTTGCCCAGATGGGTATCAGTGACAGAATCTGCATCTTTGAGAGTGGATTTGATCAACCATCAATGTAAATTGAACTGTTTCTGTTCTGGATAATAACCCCACAGTGATATGGGAGGGCTAGACAGGAGAGAGGTGCCTGCAAGAGCTTTGCAGGATTTCATTCTTGTTTTAGCAGCATTAGAAATCTTCCTTTTCAGCCTAGCAGTGTGTTCCTCACACTGCCTTTAATCAAGACTATATATTTTTAACTTGCTTCTTACATCAATGTGAAAGTGTAGGAGAGCTGCATATTTCGTGAATTAGATTACTACCAGACCTCCTCTGGTCCCTGCCCAAAGGTGTGTCAGCCTTTGAAGGGGATCACTCATTCCTCTTAACTTCTTTCCCGAGATTGGCTCAAAAGCTGAAGCTAAAAATGTCTAAAATGAAATGTCTGAAACAGAATAGAAAAGCAGTCCTCACAGTATGTTTAACAGGACATGATCATCAAGGAACATTCTAGGTGAGCAGTGGCCTTTAGAGAAAGGTTTAAAAATTGATTAATATCCTCACAGAATTCACTAAAAAATGCCTCCACTTCTCTAAGAAGCGTGAGAAGCCATCAGCACCCACAAGCTACCTATTTACTGCAGGCTACTTTCATTTTTCAGATGACCCTGCAGTTATTTTATTGACAATAGCTGTTTCTCACCAAAAAGGTGATCACAGTGCGTGGCTGGGGGGGGGGGGGGGGGGGGTGTGAAGGCAAGGAGCAAAACTTAATTACCATAGGTTTTTTTTTCCATTGTGTATTATCTGCGTGGCTTGTACTGGGTTCTCATTCCTTCTCCAGATGAAATATCTAAACCAGTGGGGCCCATTCTACTTTTAATATGCATGAGAGTGGGCCTGTGTTGTCTTTGCCAGAGAGAAGCTTCAGCAGAAACAAAAGCAAATCCTTTCCCTAGAGACATGGGGCGTGTTGCACCAGGAATGAAATCTATCTGTCTTCAAATATTGGGATGACTACAGGAATATCTTCCAGCTATTCTAGTAGTTGTAATCTCATTTTCCTGCCCTCACCATTTGGGTTCAGAGAATGAATCTGCTCACAAAAGTAAAACAAAAGAAATGGACTTCAGCAGGATTATAAATTGACAAGTTCAGTATTCCTTTTACCTCCTTTCATGCTGTTATTTACACAAGTCTATTTCTTTGGAGCTACCCACAATTCAAAATAATCTATTTGCTTAATTAAATTATCCTTTAAGGAAAGGAAATTAAAAAATGGGGGATACCCCAAGAGACCCTCTCCCAGTCAAAATGGCAGTTTCAGAATGGGTCACGGTCACACATCGTTAGGGGGGAAAGGCAAAACCATTAACATCTTGTCTGATAACATGAAAAAGGAAACTATTTACCAATTGTAATGAAACAGGAAGAATTTAAATAGGAGCTCTTGCTTTAAAACATAATGTCTGATTTTTTCTAACTCAAACAAAACTGTTGAAATACAGAAGGCCTGTGGAAAAGTCAGAATATTACAAAAATTACATGTAGTCAAAACTGGCATTCATGTAAAGTCTACTGGAGAGAAAGAGGAAGGAAAAAATACAAGGATAATTTCACAGATGTCAAAATCAGAGAATTGTGTGTGCACATAATACTAAGTGAAAGGATGCAGATAAAACGACTTGCACTCCAATTTCCAGTACATAATTCACATGATAAGGAAATAAGTGGTGCTTATCTAGAGTAAGCCTCCTTGGAAAGAAAACAAAGGTTGATCCTGAAAGGAACGTCATGTTGGAGTTGGTAAGCAACTACTGCTAAAGTCCCAGCAAATGTTCCTGTTCTTTCTCTGTCTCTGAACATAAGCTGCTAAACCTTGAGCCAGTTAGAATTGTTCTTTTCCAAACATATGAGCAAGCTATTCTTTATTCAGACAAGTAAGACATAAATTGTGCTGGCACGACTATATTGGCAGCTACGATGGCTACGTTTGGAAACTCTGCAGGGGTAATTTCCAAACAGTTTTAAACCCAGTGAGTTTGGGTTTAGTTGTTCTCAGAAATTAATTGCAAAACTGTAAAATCATGTTGGGGAGTATCAAGGCACTAAACTGAAATACTCAAGAGTCAGGGAACTCTAGGAGGTGATGCTGACAAGCTGTGAGTTATTTTAACACAACCACATGACACAGAGACAGTGTAATGACATCACATTCATACGTATTTAGAGTGTGCCAACAAAGCAATGTGAAGTAAATGAACTTCTGGCCTTGTTAAGTCAGTGGCTGACTTAAGTCAATGCCCATGGACATTTTTATACGCAGAACTTTACCCATTACTTGCGATGTGTAAAACAGTTATAGCTACGTGTAATCCATGGGGAAACAGCTAATACCAACATGATGTAAACACAAGTGTTTTGTCTGAAAAGATGCATAAAGTGAAGGCTTGTTGTTGATATCAAACCTGATTTTTGCATTTAATTTTCATAATTAAGTGTGGGGAGAGAAACTGAACACCCATCGTACTAACCACCTGAGAACCAGTGTGAGAGCCTTTACCTTTTTTATATTTGTATTGAACGGTCTAAATTTTAATCGACTGAATTACACATAAGAATCTACTTGCACAGAAATGTAAATAGCCAGGACATTGTATCCTGAGATGAAAACATACATAATAACCTCCCAGAGTTTTCTGAGAAGTCACCTGGGGCCCTTTACCTGCTCACCCTTCCAAACTACCAGTCATCAGCCTCTGACAAATGCAGTTGCTCGTGCAATTAACACATATTTTTAAAATATGTGACAACTTTAATGACAGAAACTGTTTACTATGACCTGTAACAACCTGAACTCATATTAAAATATTCAGTTTTACTTCCTGAGTGAAGGAAGACACCTTGGACATGTAGAATGTCATCAGTTCTTTGCAGCAGGGCTACAGCAGAGGTGTGTGTGTGTGTATGTCGATAGTCCTGTTAGAATGTCGTGCTTCCTTGTCTTGGTGATCTTTCTCCCTTTGGCGCTCTCACGGGATACCTGGTAGGCTGTAAGGAATAATGCATTGGCACATTTAACACAGCACTAATAAATATTTCCCATTCATAGTATTTCTTGTTCATCGCATACCCTCATGGTCTGACAGGTACAGCACAGAGCGTGGTCTGATGGTAGAACCTGCCCCTGAGTGAAAACAATGCTGGCAGACCTCATCTGTGCATTGCAAATTGCCAACAGATGCTCCTTGCCTGACACACTGGGGTGCAGGAGGAACAGAGGGATGCCAAAGGCACTCAGCTCTCCCTCCCAGCCTCCAACTGTGGTTCTCCTGTATACAGCTATTAAGTAAAAATTGGTTGTCTTCTCCACACTGTTCCCGGTGTTGTGAAAAGTCCTGGTTAGTGTGAAATTACAGAGGTTTGTTCAGCTTTCCTTGGAACTAAACTGGAAATGCTTCTTGCCACCTAATACACAGGCAAAGGGTGCAGTCAATACATTTTGCCTGTTTTTCTCTTTCCACCTCCCCCACCCCCTTTTGTTTATTTTGAAGTTCTTACATTCTAATTTTACTTGTGAGTTTTCCTGTATTTTCCCAGAGGATTTACAGAACAGACACTGCTGTGTCTCTGGCTTTTTTTAGATTTTCCAGGGAGAAAAGAGAGAATGGAGATGCGCTTCTCCTGATGAGGGAGTGGCATGTCAGATAGCACTTGGCACTGCTCGGCTTCCATGGCACTGAGGAGCCCACCAGCTAGTTTACACTGAAAACACTTTGGTGGCTGTTTCCTGGCATTGGATATTCTGTTCTGTTAATAGAGGGGGGTTCAACCAGTCAGCAAATTTAAGTGTGCATTTAATTCTCCAGTCTTTTTTTCCTTTTTCCTAGATAACTATTATCCTTATCTGTCTTTTACAAATAAAAGTAAGGCTGAACAAACAAAGCCCTGCTCTGAAAGGTAATGCCAAAGGCAAACTCCCATTCTCTAGAAGTTATACAGTGTTTTGATTTGTCCAAACTGTTAAACATTCCTAAATTACCTCAAGCAAAGATGGATCTGTTGCATTCACCTTGCTGCTTTGCAGGCCTGAGGAATGTTTCAAAAACCAATGCAAGCTCACGGCACATTTCAGGAGCTGTGGGAATGTTAATCAGGACACAGGATTTAACTCCACCCATGCTCTGCCCAGGATGCAGGATTACTCAGGCACTTGGTGTACTCCCATTTTCCTTTCCCTGTGTACATCCACACTGATCCCGGACAGAACCTTTACCTAGAGAACCCCCTGGGTTTTCCCTATTGCCTAAAAAAGGCCAAGGCATTGTTATGGCTGTTGTATTTACAGAGGTTGATATGGCTGGAACAATTTTGTTTAAATTATTTATCAGCTAGCAGCTGTACTCACAATGTCCCTGTGTTGTCCAAATGCTCAAAAAGAGTGCAGTGAAGCACACCCTGCTAAAGAAAGGTAGCTAGGGCTGCAAGATAAAGGAAAACACGAGATTTTGAAGTATGGCCTGGTTTGTTTCCCTTTGTCAGCAAAACACAGAAGAATTTTACGGCTATCAGGTGGAGAGCAAAGAGGCTTTGCGCATACAATCAGTGACATTGTGTCACTTGTGAAGCATTGTGCAAAGAAAGCAAAGGGTTTACAGGGAAGCTGACAAACCAGCTGGCGATGCTTGGAATGAATGCTCGTAAAGCTGAGGGACGCAAACTGCAGCACAAGGGGTCAGGGAGGGGCGGCTGTGGGTGCCATCGGTGCTGTGACACCATGGCTGAACATGATGCAATGCATCCAGTTGGGCTGCTCTCCCTGAGCCACACCAGCCACCACGGGGATGAACAGTCGGGTGTAGGCAGGTGCCAGGGAAATCCCGCAGAGCTGCCATGTAGGGTGGCACCTGTGCAGCCCTGCAGAAGCTACAGGGAACGGGGCTCGGGCAGGTGGGTGCTGTTCCACCATTGAGCGTCAGACACAACCATGGCCGCTTACAGCCGTGCAAAACCTGTCGGTGTAGGCCCCTGTGGATGAGGTTGTCAGGGCAGGGACACCCCAGACAATGGCCTGGGAGAGCTCAGGGGAGGAGAACAGGGGTTAAACAATCTCTGACTTCTGAGGTTTGCTGCAGCAGGAGGGCCATCACCATCTCCATACCTTTCTCTATGGGGTAATGGCTGATGAAGTCAAAGGTAACCCAAAACCTGACCCTCTATGTAACTGCATTGGTAAGAAATAAGGAAGAAACCCATCCTCTCCCAGCACAACAACCACGAGGCATGCCCCACAGCCAAGCCCCCACGCCAGCCCCGGAACAGCACCGCTGCAACTGTGTCCGGCTGCCCGAGGAGCACCAGGCCAGGCCCTACCCTGCGCTGCCCGTGACAGCTGCAGGGAGTCCCAGGGCAGGCGCGAAGCCGGGCTCCCTGTCAGGCAACGCCGGTGAGGAGGGAAGGCCGCCGGGTCCGGGCCGACCTCCGCGAGTACCTCCGCCACCGCCGCCGCCGCCTCCCCCGCCTCGGGCCGCCTCAGCCCCCGCAGCCCCCGCCCTCGGCCTGCCCCTGTGGCCGTGACGTCCCGGGCGGCTGAGCCGGGCCGGGCCGTGCCGGGCGGCGGGGGGCGGCGCAGAGCCGCGCAGCAGTAGCGGCGGCGGCAGGGCTGGCAGTCGGGCGCTCAGCGCAGTAACAGCAGGAGGTAAGGACGCAGCGCCGGGTGTCGCGGCAGGCCTTTGGCCCCCCCCTTGCCTTCCCCTGCTGGCTCTCCGCGCCCCTCTCCCTCCAGGCCGCGGCGCACTGCCCCGCCGGCACCTCCCGCCAGGCGCCGGGGCAGCGCGGCCCGGCCCGCCGGCAGGTGCGACCGGATTCGCCGGTGGGGAGCTCGCCAGAGGCTCTGTGGCGGGGAGCAGGGCTTTCGGGCAGCAGATCCTGTGGTAGCCATCGCTGGCTGCCTCCGCGGTTCCCTCTGTAAGTGCTGCTCGGGGCTGGGGGCGAGCGCTGCGGGGAGGGGACGTGCGGTGTTTCCCACCTTGCACGTCTCAGTAACAGTAACGGCGGGAGCGTATTACCGCCGCCCTCCTGGCGCCGGCGTCGGGGTCTGCAGGCTCCGGAAGACCCGGTAGCTCCGGGGGAGCGGGGGGGAGCGGGACTGGCCGGTCCGTGGGGTGGGTGTGCCGCAGCCGCACGTCCCCGTGAGGGGCAGTCACCCTCCGCAGCGATTTCCCTGTACTTCCTTAAGTGAACTGTCATGGGAATTCCTTTCATCTCCATTTTTTTTTTTGTTTTTTTTTTTTTTTTGTGAGCCTCATGCTCTGTAAGAAGCACTCTCTGGTGAGCTACAGCTGAGCTCTTCTCGTTTCCAAAACATTTCTGCACTGGTAATAGTGCCCTTGTCACAGAAGAGGGTTTTTTACAGCCTTGACTGGCCGAACACAATGTGATCTGAGTGTGATTGAAAACCATCTTGTCTTGGAGGATTTCTTATTGACGTACTTTTGCAGGCTGCACTTTTGTAGAGCAGAGTGCATAAATGTGATGTCCTACCAAAACCTGATACCTGATTCCTGTAACTTGCATTCGCTACTTGAATAGGAAAACTTAAGAAGATTCCCCCCCTTCATGAGCCATTGCTTTAATACAACTTGCAGTGCAGCATATTTATTGTTGATGCTTGCCTAATACTCATCCCTCAGATTCCTAACTATTAAATCCTAATGCCACGAGAGGCCTGTGAGATTGAGATAACTAAACTAGTAGATTACAGGTTGTAGAGAAGGATGATTGTTACCTGTTACTTCATCCGAATATTGCCGATTGTCAGCCCTTTTTTACAAAGGTGGAGAGAAGTAGTTTTGACTTGCTCTTCCTCCTTGAAGGAAAAGACCTTTGAGGCAGTCTGATTTCTTACAGTTCAGTTGGCATCGCTGGGCTGCAGAGCGGCCTATGAACTGAGTTTGCAGCCATCGGAGTACAAAGGTTGGCCATGGGGCTGAGTCTTCCTTCCATTGCAAATGTGACAAATTAACACGGTGGGGAGGAACTCATGATTTAAGGTCATCTGCAGTTTTGTTCTTCAAGACAGAGGGAAATGCTGGGGTGAAAAGCCTGATAATGGTAGAAATGATTTTAGGATTGAAATTATCCTTTTGCAAATTTAAAAGTATAAGCAAATGTCTTCTTGCAGAATTTGTTTAAAATATCATAAAACTGTGCTACTGTACAAGTTAACTGTGAAGTGTACGGTTTATGAAATAACTGCAAAAGCAAAATACCACTGTTGTTGGGGTAGCAAAGTAAATATTGAAATTGTCAGAGCTCAAGTTAGAAACCTTTGAATGTTGTTTTTACTAATGTAGAAATTGGGATTTAGCTTGACTTGTATTTTTAGTGGATACGTTTTTAAGGCATGTCAGTTTAGTAATGGTACAGTTTAGCAAGCTGTTTAGTAATGGTACAGTTATGCCTTCGACTGTGTAACTATAAAACCAGTGATGTGAACATAAAGGCCGTAAAGTTTGCTGCAAGGCTTTACAGCTTTCTAAATTAAAACCATGTCAGTATTAGCTTGCAGAAATTGCAAGATAAACTAATTTCCCCATCTCCTTGTTTCTAGCCCGAGTGGGTGTTCATGTACAATCTGCACTAAGTACTGTGTCCTTCAGGACCTGGGATCGCCATGTGCTTTGTTTTGATGCTGAGTCAGTATTCTGACCCATTAGCCATAATGTTTTTGTAAGCAAGGTAAAGTAGTGCTTCCTTGTGCCTGGTCTGCAGGGGTTGAGAAGGCTTTGTGACCCAGTCTGACCTTCATATTCTCTTGGTATTTGATAGTGCTGGTCAGAGGAAAGCTTTGAGGTTTTAGAAATTTTGACAGCATCATGAGTGATGTCGCAAGTTGAGTAGGGACTAACTTTTAATTGTCACTTTCAGTGCAAAACGTGAAAGCATGAGGTTAAACTGGCATGTTCAAATTGAACAAAAGGGGTGTGTTTTGCTTTTGATCCAATGTGTAGTTAGTTAAGCTTTGGAAATCCTTTCTGAAGTATGTGGATATTTAAAGTTTACAAGGAGTTGAAAAGCAGCTGGACAATGGGAGGAAAATCCACTAAGGCTGACACATATGGAATACCTCTTGTAGCTCAGGGAGTCACTGGGCTGTATGTGGAGCCTGGGAGAACATACTGGGAAAGTGCTGTCAAGTATTTACTGATTTTTTTATATTGATTTCAGGCGTTGACTGCTGCAGGCAGCATACTGAAGACAACAGACCTGCTGCCTAACCCAGTAGGGCTGCTCTTAGGATTATTATTCATCTGAAGCATTTGAGAACAGCCAAGCCAAAGGGACCAGGTCTGGAGATAGCAACTCTGGGTGCTTATTCTTACAGAGTGATTATGAGTCATTATCAAACTGGGGCGTCAGCTTAAGTGGTGCTGGGGCAGTTCTGGCACCTTTGTACTTGGCGTTATCATTGATGTCTTTGATAAACAGAATTATCAGAAAGTCTGAAGGAGGGGTTTTGGACCTTATTTTTCATGCTCTGTTTTGGAAGATGAGGTTTTAGATCTATTCAGTGGCTGTGTTCAAATACGAGATACTATTTTCAAGAAGGTGATCCCATAATGCAGGTAGGTAAAGTCAACTTCACTGTGGCAGCAGTGCCACAGAAGGAGATCTGAGGCTTATAGGGGATCATGACAAGCAGTGGGATGCAGCACTGTTGAAGTTAAATGATGAACTTTTTGTACTAATGAAGCCTAAATTAACAGAATAATGTGTTCAGTTTTGGCCACAGCCCTTTAATAAATGGCTCAAACATCTCAGTCTGGCAGAAATAATCATCAAGGTTTAGGAAGGGTTTGGAAATCATCATCTACAAAGACCACACATGTTTGGAAAGTGTATTCTACAAAGGCTAGACAAGCTCAATTCCAGCAGAAAGAGGATGAGATGGTGGCACAGGAAGATGCTACAGTCTTAAAATTAGTGAGAAGTGGTCTGTGTTCTTCTGTCAGTGACTGTATTGAAGGAGGTGAAACTAGTTTGTATAAAAGATTTAATGTAGTTCTTAAAATCTGTTATGCTTTAGGGAAAACTGGAACGAGCTGAGGTTGTGCAATCTGCTTTATGAGAAATTTTTGAAAGTCAAATAGGACTTGTGTTAAGGATATATTAAAGACTTTACTTGCAACTGTTTTATTTGTTCTCATGCAGGGGATTGAACTTGATTAATTCTTAGGTGCTGTTGTATTCTGGCCTGGGTTTATGTAGAAAAGTAATGTTAATGCTCAAAAGAAATGCAGCTTCTGTGAGAAAGACCTAGAATCTTTCAGTTACTGCTGGTCGTCTGATGTTACAGCTTAACGCATTTAGTTTTAAAATAGTGTTGAGGTAAACTGTCGCATTCAACAGCAAAATGTTGTGGTTTAGGAGCATAGCCTGTAATCCCATAGGAAATGTAGGTGTAGGATCATACTGTGATTTAAACCAGGAAAATCAGAGGGATAAAGCCTGAGGTATTCATTATCCACTGTAATATATACTGTATGTGGCTTCATAATCTGTATCGAAATGTTACAGTATCTTCTGTTCTGAAACACTTTTAAAGAACTGTCAGCCGATTCAAGAGACATAAAGCAGACTTGTTAGGTACTTGTTAAGGTACCTTTGTTTCTTTAGGTACCCTCATTTTGAATCTGTTTTTTAAAGTATGCGTGGGCAGATAAAAATGACATAACACTTTAACATCGCATGCCATCTATTTAGGTTTTTGCTTTGCTGTTTCTTGGAGCAGCGGTATTACATTTGTAGTAAATACTGGTGACTGAGACTTATGTTTCTGAAGTATTGATATATATGCTATAATAATATAAATAACACATAGGAAAAATACGTTTTTTGAAGTGAAGTCTGAATGAACACTTCCCCTCCTCCCCCCCCCCCCGAAAAAAAAACAACAAAACAACAATATCAAACCAGTTTGGTGATGCTAAATGTGAAGTAGCAGCAGCCTTCATGTTTTTCCCTAAGGTTTTGATGGCAAGACAGATAAATCTGTGGGCTCTTTCATCTCTGGTAGAATGATTTCTCTAAGTAATGACCATACCTAATTAATAGTATGTATTTTATTGGAAAGATCATACTAATTCTGTCTTTCAATAAGCAGTTATCTTAGAATACCAGTAAAAAAAACAGTTAACTTAGCCAAACTGAGTTCTTGCTTTTTTTCTCATTGAACAACATGTAAAATCAGAGCAAAGGCAGCTGGGGCTGAGGAGGAGGGCTGGTTTGGTTTCGGTCTTGGTGCTGTATCTCAAAGGCAAAGCCTGTTTCCACTTGTGGACCGCTTAGCACAGCCTTGTGAAGGTGGTTTGGGAATGCTGAACAGCAGCACATTATTTTTTTCCCAGTGGAAAGGGAGTGAGTTGCAGGGTGAGTTGTAGCCAGGCAGTATTTACCTTGCTGTCACTGTGCTGGCTGCAGCTCCTGTAGGCATGCTGGAGCTCTGCAAGCTCCATTGCAGCTACTGTCAGTAGCACGCATGTACAAATGCTTGGTTAGCAAGGGTTGGTATCTGTGCTGCCATGGCTACTCTGCAGGTCATATCGAGGGTTTACCTGACTCCTGAAGCACTTCTGCCAAGCCAGAGGTCTTTCCTTGTCAGCAGAATGCTTCTCCCCACTCTTCAAGTGGGTGGATGAAGGGCAGTTACTGCTTCCTCCAGGGAGTGAGAGATGGATGAGGCATCTGGAGTTAAACTTCACTTTTCATATGTGCAGTCTGCAGTACTGCTGCTCTCAACTGATCTCTTGGTGAGAAAGGCAAACAGGAGTAGTCTCCAGACTGGGATCCTGCCCTGGCAGTGATGAATGGAGGAGTCATGAGCACTGCTAGAGCTAGGGTGGCCACATTTTTACCTGCATCTTTTGGCATTTGGTCTGCTCTCGGAAAAATCAGTAGAGAAATTCTCAGAGTCTTCAGGAGGAAGTCTGAATGAACCCTGGATTTGTAAACACTCAACAAAGGGCCATTTGTAACAAGAGAAAACTAGATTTCTTTTGCAATGGTAGTTAATCAGACAGTTAAATTAAGAGTATTATTTATGCAGTGGATAATTATTTAG